ATCTGTCCTCCATGTGTTTTATTTCTACCTGCCCCTCTCCCTTGCCACTTGCCTCTCTTCTTTATCACTCCGGTGTCCTCCTCTTTTGCCCCCCTCCCTGCTCAAAGCGCCCTCAGGTGGGTTTGGCTACGCTGGGATGCAGAGCAGCTCTCAGAACCAGTTCAGCTACAGCCTGTCTCAGGGTCCCAGGGCCAGGACCCAGTCTTCAGAGGTCAACGAAGCCTTATATAATCTGGACAGGGTGCTCCACGGTAAGTCTGCAACATACGAGCATGAGGCCGTGGATGTGTTTGCTGGGAGTGAGGTGTAACGCAGCTCGTCTCTCTTTCTGCTTCTCTGAGTGTCTGATTCTGTCTCCCTCCTGGATCTGATCAAACCTGCTGTTTTATGTGTTCAGATCACTCATTTTATGCATTACTGGAAACCACTAGATTATGTCCTATCAGCATACAGTTCCCTCTACAATACAAAACACTGAGCTGGAGGATGATCACTGTTTAGATGTTGGTTCAGCCCAGTTTTCTTCAGCTTGTCAGAGAAGCTCTGACAGACCCTCTACCTTAGGGTGACCAGATATCTGAAATGAAAACCGAGGACATTTCTAGTTCAGCGATTAATATATCATTAAAATATCCAATGATTTTACATATGAAATTAAAAAGGGGATAGTCCTGGTTTCTTGTATTCTGAACATGGTAACTGTTGTACTGTAATACACTATGGTGAAGAACAACGGATAAAACGATGACTCCCTACCTTTGAATCAGTTTTGAAGTCCAATTGTCTATCTACTCGACAATTATTTACATTCCTTTAATTCGTAAGGGTCCACAGATCATCAAAAGCAAGAATCATTTTCATCATAATTAATCAATCACTTTTCATAAAAGTATTCCAGGTTGTGAATATTCTCGTGTGAAGTCAAATTCTTTTCAAGTTCCGGCAGGGAGGTTTTGGGTATGTTTGTTTTTGTAAGTTTACTGACTGGTTATCAACTCCTAACCAGTGAGTGAGCCAACTAATCTCTCTGCCTAGAGACAACAAAAAAAGAAAAATCTGATTGGATAACTCTATTTCAGTGGTTTTAGCTTCACTTCTGAAGCTGCTGTAGCTAGCAGCTAGCCACCTGAGTCGGCCAAAACAAGCACAACGCTAGACGTCTGGTTTTTAATTCAGGACACCAAAAACAGGGACTGTCCCCGGAAAACAGGGACATCTGGTCACCCTTCTCTACCTGACCACAAGGACAAGAAGAGATTTCCCATCAGTCTCTACTAACAACAGCATCATGAGCTGATGATCAGTGATCTGACTGTAACAGACGAGAAAATAAAAGGTTTCTGCAAGTTCATATTCATCACTCATCAGTTGAAGTAAATGATGTCTGCGTAAAAGAATAACAATCAAAACAAGGAGTATATAACACTCTGTCTCAGTCTCTCCCCATCTTTCTTAAACCTCGCACTCTCAACAGATACACAACATATTAACACTGATCATACTCATACTACATACATACAATGCAGTTCTCACTCTGGTCTCTCTGTCACCCACCAGACGCTCGACTGTCCCCTGGTGTCCCTGACACCCCCAGCAGGCTGGTGTTTTCTGCTCTGGGCCCCACGGCCCTCAAAGTCAGCTGGCAGGAGCCCCAGTGTGAGAAGGACATCCAGGGCTACTGTGTCCTGTACCAGCTGCTCAACGGAGGTTAGTGAACCCTGACGGACCATTTACTGAACCAGACCTGGTAAAACTGCTGCTAGTTTAGTTTAGTTTAGTTTGAGTTTGTTTAGTGTAGTTTTGTTTGTGTTAGTTTAGGTTAGTTTGGGTTAGTTTAGTTTGGTTTAGTTTGGGTTAGTTTGGGTTGCTTTATGTTGTTTAGTTTAGTTTAGTTTGGTTTGTTTGCTTTAGTTTGTTTGGTTTAGTTTAGTTCAGTTTAGTTTAGTTTGGTTTAGTTAGGGTTAGTTTAGTTCAAATTAGTTCAGTTTGAGTTCGTTTAGTTTGTGTTAGTTTAGTGTAGTTTAGTTTGGGTTGTTTAGTTTAGTTTTTTTAGTTAAGTTTGGGTTAGTCTTGGTTAGGTGCATTCTCAAATTGTTTTTAAATTCATTTTTGAGTGTTTCCTGTTGATGCTGACCGACCTGTGTCTTCTCCTGAAGGCGACATGAAGCGCATCAACGTGACGAACCCAGCAGAGAACTCTGTGATCATCCAGGACCTGCTGCCCAATCACTCCTACCTGTTCAAGGTGAAGGCTCAGAGCCAGGAGGGCTGGGGTCCAGAGAGAGAGGGCGTCATCACCATCGAGTCTGCTGTCGACCCCAAGAGCCCCCTCAGCCCCATGCCAGGTACTGGTCCAGTAACCCACAGAGACCGTGACTTTATCAGTCAGTGTCAGTGTCCCTCAGTGTCTGAGCTCTCCTCTGTCGCTGCAGGATCTCCCTTCACTCTGAGCACTCCCAGTGCTCCAGGGCCCCTGGTCTTCACGGCTCTGAGTCCCGACTCTCTGCAGCTCAGCTGGGAGAAACCTCGCAAACCCAACGGAGACATCCTGGGCTACGTGGTCACCTGTGAACAGCTGCACGGTGGAGGTGAGTCTTCTGCTTTGTAGTTATTTTTGTGTAAGACGACACCCTCACTGCACCTGTCACCTCTTCACTCTCGGTTGTGAACTTGTGTTTTTCTGGTCCTCTGTTGTTTCCAGGTGACGTGCGTTCCTTCCAGGTGAACGGCGACAGCACCGAGACCAGTCTGACCGTCCCAAACCTGACTGAGAACGTCCCCTACAAGTTCAAAGTCCAGGCTCGGACCACACAAGGCTTTGGTCCAGAGAGGGAGGGCATCATCACCATCGAGTCTCAGGATGGAGGTGAGATGAATTTCAGTTCATCACTTCCTGTGACTGACGTGTCAGACCAGTCAGCTCTGAGCTGCAGTATGAGGTCAGGACTTCAGGATTAAAAATCTGCATGTCTTTCCCTCCTCACCCTCTGCAGGTGCACTGTCTCAGTTCAACAGCCAATCAATGACGAAGAGGGATGTCTTCCACCTGCCCACAGAAGTCAGCACACGGACCAACGTCTCACACACCATGCTCAACGACCCCTACTTCTCAGGTACAGACACAGTTTTAGTGTGAGCTCTGTTCTGCTGTAAATAAGAGTTATTGACTGATGAATGAGCTGCTGTCTCTCTCTGACAGACGGGATGATGATGACCACACAGCACACAGAGACCAGCGGCATGCTGACTCGTCAGATCACCAAGGAGGTGGTTCAGAGGAGCGTCATGGGCGGGACGACTGTCACCAAGAAGATGTTCTACGAATCATAAGATCTTATTTAACTAAATGACCAACATGATCATATCTGAGATTCTCTCACACACTCAGTGTTTATTTTATGTGTGTGTGAGCAGTAAACAAAGGAGAAGAGAGTTCCTTCATGTCTGTTACAAACTGTGTGTCTTCCACAGACCAGGTTCATTTAATGTTTCCATTACTGTCACTGTTGCTTCTCATGTTTTCACTCGTTTCTCCACCTTCATCCTCATCTAGCGTAAAACTCCCTCTGTTGGTTCAGGTCTGATAACACACACCAGGGCTTTAAACAGACCAGCACTCAGTAATCTGATTGTGGATCAGTAGTCTGACTATGGTCCAATAATATGACTGTAGACCAGTAATCTGATTGTGGATCAGTAGTCTGACTATGGTCCAATAATCTGACTGTAGATCAGTAAACTGACTGTGGCTCATTAATCCAAAGTGACCTTGTCCCCTTGTCTCCTCCACTTGTCCACTTGTTAAGAAAAGAGCTGTATAAATAAAGTTTTCACTAAATTTCAGCCCGTGTTGTGACTGAACCGTCAGTCTGAGTTTTACCTGGTGCGTTCTGATCCAGTCTGAGACCAGGAGAATCACAGTCAAGTGTTCTGGACTCTTGTTCATAGATTTGTATATTTAAGTTTTTCCAAGTATATTTAACTTTTTATGGTTTTTATTGAAGCAGACTGACAGTGGATTTAATACCAAACAGAGAGGTTTCTGCAGACACAGGTTTGTGCTTGTTGATTCATATGTTTTCCTTCTGACAGGGAGCTTGATCATGATCATGATGTAACGTGGTTTTACATTTCAGACGGTGTGGTCAACACTGCTTCACCTTCATGTGTTTCTTTACATTTTAACGAGGAGATGTTTGAGAGAGAAGTGGTGTGTGAGGACAGAAAGATTGTATTTGCTTCAGTTTATCTCGGCCTGATGTCGTTGTTGATGTTTTTGTAAAACATATTTTTAGAGTTGGATCAACTTTTCACCAGAAGCAGACTCAGTAAATCTTCATGTAGTTCAGATCCACGTGTATCACTTTAAACAGTTGATCTCATCTGTCTGTTGTTTAATTAAAGATCTGACATTAAAACGTTCTGTAATGAATTTGTGTCTGAATGATGTGTCACCACTGACAACCAGAGGAGCGTTCACGGTTCATTTATTGATGTTTGGGAGAAAAAAACAACAGAAGAAGAAGAACACAGCTGCAGAAAGAAGCTCATGCCTGACACATGTTTTCATGAAGCTCGAGACAAAGAAGCAAAGACATGCATCAGCCCGTCTGTCTGACCTGCAGCTGTTAGTGAGCCCCCCCCCATCAGCTGAACCCCCCCATCAGCTGAGCCCCCCCCATCAGCTGAACCCCCCCATCAGCTGCTCTCTGCTTCATGCTTCTATCACACGACTGAAGTTAGTTTTCATCTATAAGTAATAAAAACGTGATCAGATCGTGATGTCATGAAAACCATGTGACTCATGTTTCTGACCCAAAAAGAAAAATGTTTCTGAAACGTCTGAATCTGATTGGACAGTGAAAAACAGAACATAAAACGTCTCCATGAAGGCAGAGTCACAGAGGCTGTGATGCAGAACGATGGTGGTTCTGGTTCCTGATCTCACAAGCCCCCCACCCCAACTCCCACCCCCACCCTCACCCCCACCCTCTCCAGAGAGACTTGTGGTTCAGAACCAGAACAGGATTCAGATTCACTACAGAACTGAGCAGAATACAAACAGACTGAGGACCAGAGAGGACCAGGGTCTCAGACGGTTCAGTTCCAGAGGCAGGGCCCCGGGCAGAGGCACGGCTGTCTGAGGTCTGCAGGCCTGATCACCAGGTCTTTGACCACCTCCACAGTCCCGAACACGGGGATCAGTTCCTCTGTGAACTTCTCGTTGAAGGTGTACAGGTGAGAGCGCTTCTCCACGTCGTAGAAGGACAGCTGGCCCTGCTCATAGTCCAGGAACACCCCCACCTTCCTGGGCACCAGGCTCTGTGACAGCGTGGTGGCGGGAACCGTCAGGGCCTTCAGGTCTGAGCCCCTCTCCAGACGCAGGGTCAGGTAACCCGTGTCTGTGTTGAGCGAGCGGAAGCCCTGCCTCACGGCCGACGCCTTCACCGCTCCCAGTCGCCAGTCCCGCTCGCCCACCTCCACCTCCCAGTAGTGACGTCCGGAGGCGTAGCCCTCCTGGGCCGCGGCGCACCACCAGCCGTCAAAGCGTCTCTGGCACCGCGGGGCGTCCCGGCGCTCCAGGCCGCACCGCATCCGCTTCTCATCAGCAGAGATGAGCAGGTCTGGGTTGGCTGAGTCCGGATCCAGACTGACGTCGTCTGTGGAGTCAGACCAGGACAGGAGGGTTACACAGAGTCAGGTACCAGGGTGATGAAGGAGAGAGAGGAGGGTTCATACCTGCGGCTTCACAGATCCAGTTCCACACTGTAGAGAAAGAGGAGATGCTGTGATCAATATTTATATCAATAATCAATCAAATCACTGAGGTCATGTGACCCTGACACACCTGATACAGATCCCACCAGCTTCATTCAGGTTCAGCTTCTATCAGCTCATTGTTTTGTCTTTTATGGTCCAACCAGACCAGACTGGTCCAGTCACATTAGACCAGACCTTTCCAGTCCAGTCCGGACCGGACCAGATCAGATCAGACCATACCAGTCCACTCCAGTTCAATCCAGTCCAGACCAGACCAGACCAGTTTAAACCAGAGTGAATGCTGAGGTTTTATCTCAGGTGACACTGAATGTGTCTGTGTGAGAGCAGCTCAGTCTGTTCAACACATGAACTTTATAAAGTGATGAAATCAGTGAACTCTTTAAACTCCTCTGGATGTTTGATGTCATTGATTGATAAATGAAATAATCAATAGTCGAGTCTGAATACGTCTGAATAAAGTGTAAAGAGTGACATCGCATACGACCCTGTGTGTGTGTTAGACTGTGATGTAATAAAGATCAGGTGAGCAGTGTTCAGGTGTCCACTCACCACTGTGGGGGATGTTGAGCCCAGCGTCTGAGAGAGAGAGAGAGAGAGAGAGAGAGTCAGATCAACACCTCCTGTCCTCTGATCACAGATCAATAATGATCAGTATCACACACACACTCTGTTACAGTTTACAACAGTTCACACTCGCTATGTTAACGAGACGATGATCCACTCACCGCTCCTCTGACACCTCTGCTTCCTCACCAGCCACTGCTTAGTCACATCCTCCTACACACACACACACACACACACACACACACACACACACACACACACAGAAACGTAAAGACCCAGAAGGCCAAGGTGAGTGGAGCGATCAGATAAAGGGATTATCTGGACGTCGTGTAGCGTATATACATCCATCATATATACATTATATATATATACATCACACAGACATGATGCTCTACACTCTTTACTGAACCGATCATGTTTTCAGTCCTTTAAGGTTTTAATGAACCGATCTGATCAGACTTCCAGACCTTCACAGGGCTGTCAGCGTTCAGCACGGCCAGGATGACCAGCTCCATGGCGGGCAGCAGGTTGGGGAGACGGCCCCTCTTCCACTGGAACTCCAGGTCGTCCAGCATCATGAGCACCGGCTCGCCCGGCCACACGCTGGGCTGGAGGGGGAGGGGAGGGGGGAGGGTGGTGGTGTGAGGTTTATAAAGGTCCAGGACATTACGAGTATGATGGGATGACTGTCAAAGGTTTATGTTAATCATCTTTATCAGGACCAGGAGGGAACTGGGTCAGAGTCTAATCGCCCAGCAGCCTCCTCACCTCCACTTGTCTACACTCACCTGAGGTCTGCTCTTCACCTCCCGTGTCCAGTCCATGATGACTCGTTTGTGGGGTCCCATTTCGCACTCCCCCCCCGCCTCGAGCATGCAGAGGAGGTGCCCCTTCCAGTCCTTCTTCTCCGGCCTCTCGTACTGGTGTTCGGACGAGACGATCCTCGGCTGAACCACAAACAGACGTTTAAACACCAACATGCCACGGTGATGCTGCGGGAGGAAAAGTCACGTGACACCTGTTTCATACCTGCACTCTCTTCTCTAATACAGCGGCCCACTCCACGATGAAGTCCCGACACACGCTGGGGGGCCAGATGTCCTCACTGGTCCAGATGTGGCCCAGGATGGTTGACCTCTGGAGTAGAGACAAGACAGGAGTGAGGGGCCATGATGTTGAGTGACAGCAGGAAGTGACAGAGACACTTCGGCCCAATCCCAGTGCCCCCCCCCCGAAGGCCTAAGCCCTGAACCTGCACAGACATCACTGACGTCACCTGGTCAGTGAGTGTGTGACACATCACGTAAAACAGGTTGCATTGTGGGTTTGGGACATTCTCTCCCTACGCTTCCTGTTTGTCAACAAAATAATAATGTTGGATCAGGTCTGAAAGCAGATTTGGAGTTTACCATCCTGTCATCAGACGACAGATAACGACACACAGTTCAGGCTCTGAGTCCGTTGTCTACAGTTTTTTTACGCTTCCGGATGAAGCTTGGTAACCACGGTAACCTCGTGTTTAATGTCACAACGCTATGAACTTTGGGTAAGTCCCCATGGAAAGTGTGCATAAAGGGCTCAAAATGTCTGGCCTCATGTCCTCGATGGTTTGACAGTGAGACGGCACTAAGTGCCTCAGAGTCTGAGAGGGGGCCACTGGGATCGGACCTTCCTGTTGAGCGACAGCAGGAAGTGCGAGGCAGAGACACTTCGGGCTAATCCCAATTTTATTTGACTTGATAATTGAAAATTAAACTGTGGAAAAAATAAGGATAAAATTAGATTAAGACGACGAACGAAAACATGTTCAGCAGAAGCAAAGAAGCAAAGAAGCAAAGAAGCATGGGAGTGAATTTTTATTTGTTCAATGGATAATTTTCTTTTCACAAGCTCAGTATGAATGTGATGAGGGCCACGTCGCTACCTCTTTATTGGTGCTGGTGTGTGATAAACATTATCTTTTTGATAAATATTGATTTGATTACAAAATTGTTCTGAACGTAGCATCCCAACGCTTCCCAGTATATTTAGACCCTCCCCCTTAATGAAGAGACCCTCCACAGCGAGAGTGGCTCCACACGGAGTTGAGTGTGTTTGGGACTGGATTGGACATGGGGCACTTCTGTTGAGTGACAACAGGAAGTGAGAGGCAGACCTCACCTGGCAGATCTTGTTGAGCTCTCGAGCTAACTCCATGATGAACAACTGACTCTCCACCAGCGGCACCTTCTTCTCCAGCCTCACCTGCTTCCGAGACTCCTGCGGGTAAAAGGAGAATCATGACCAGAGGAACGCTTTGACCTCGGCGCTCGGTGAACCCAGAGCTGCGTGTCTGTACCTTGAGGCGGATCTTGAGCTTCTTGGCCGGTTCGATCAGGAACTGCAGGCAGTCCTTCATCATGCTGCCAGCTGCAGAGCAACGACACTGATCTGTGGTACAATAATAAAAAGCTTTACTGCACTGGCACTGGAGCAGAGCTGCAGCTGACTCCACACACACACAGGACAGAGAGAGTGTGTGTGATCACGGCTTTGCACACTCACCAAGGAGAGAGAGAGAGAGAGAGAGAGAGAGAGAGAGAGTGTGTGTGTGTGTGTGTGTGATCACGGCTCTGCACACAGGGCTCATCATCAGGCTCTCTGAGCTATCATTAGAGGAGGAGGAGGAGAGTGGACCCACACACACACAGAAGAGTGAACAGACTGTGCCCACACACTCCACACACACTCCACACACTCTCCACACACTCCACAGAGGAACAGAAATCTTGCACAGTAACAGATTTCCTGACGTGTGTGGGTCGATGAATCTCGGCCTTGAAATTGGAAATTTATTCCCAAGGAGAAGTGAAGTAGCATCTGAGAGCTTTACAGGCTGCGGGGGCTGCGGGGGATGGGGGGTGGGGGGTTGGACCAATTTGTTGTTGATTCAGCAGTCCGCCTCTGCACCCCGGCCTCATGCTCTGAGGGGATTTGCTGTGCTTTCTGTGATGTAGAGGAGGCAGCTGAGCCAAGAGGAGGCTGAACTGACTCTGCAACGACCGAGGAGGAAGTTACTGTACTGACAAAAAACTGCACCACAATAAAAGTCGACAAAAAAAAACTGCAGCAAAATAAAAGTCGACAAAAAAACTGCAGCAAAAAACAAACAAAAAAACCCCAAAAAACAAGCAAAATAAAAGTTTATCTTTAGCGAGAGGCATCAGATCACTTTAAAACTGGTTTTGTATGATGATGATGATGATGATGATGATGATGATGATGATGATGATGATGAGGATGATGAGGATGATGATGCTGACTATAGTCCACGTGGTGACTTCTTCACTCAAATCAATAAATCGGTGAGAGCCAATAGGAATGTCCACACCTCAGCCAGAGGACATACAGAGCCGTGTCAGACTCAGTAAGGGGGGCTGTACTGGACTGAACTGGACCCTACCTGACCCCCCTCACACTGACGCTCTGTGACTACGTATCGCCTCCTGGTTGGGTGGAGGGTCTATTTTCGGCAGCGGAGGCAGAGGAGCTGTGTGAGAGCTGTGTGAGAGCTGCAGATTATCCAGGATTAGCAGCTACAGCTGAACAGAGGCAGGTAACATCTTTCTATATGAGGAGACAGGCTGTCTGCACCACAACAAACACACAGCAACACACAGCAACACACAACAGGAGAGGTGTTATCATGACTGACAGGAGCTGGACTGTATCCACACGCTGTCTTTACAGAATGAATGATGACAGGATGAATCTTTTATAAACGTGAATGAAGATGAATGAATGAACTGTCCTGAGCTGTGAACAACACTAATTATTTTATTTAATTACGCCCTGACAGCTGCTCCCTTCTCCCGCTTCTCTCCGTGAACGACGTCCAGTTAAAAATTAAAAGTCTCACCTTGTTACAGGAGGATCTTCCTTCCCGCCGGTAACTTTCCCGGCTCCTCTGAGTCTGAGGTGGTTTCTGGTGCAGGTCTAGTCCTGATCCTCTGAGCGGCTCCTCTTCCTCACTACAACTGCGGCACGAGACTCAGCGCGCGCTCTTATCTACCGCCGCTGCAGCGGGAACAAGGCGGCGCCAGAGGGCGCCAAAACTCCGGTAATCCGAGGACACCACAGACGCCTCCCCGGTCTCTGGTGTCAAGTTTACTGGATGTGTCTTTGGTCAGAGACGGAATAGACCCGCATTAAACCGTCTAGACCACCGTTAACTACTGAATGACTGTCTAACAAGGGCGAAGGTTTGGTCTCAAAATTGGTAAGGATCCAACAACCCCGCCGCCCCTCCAAAACAAAGACATTGGCTTTTTAATGCTGTCAATGCTGTAGCGCAGCAACACGTTTACCTCAAGAGTACATTACCTTTCATTAACAGCAGTGAGTGACATTTTACGTGCTGACGTCAGTGTCTCAACGCCAGTCTCTGGAGTTTTTGTTATCGGTAGTTTAGACTTCCGCTTCTCAATGTGTTTCCTGGTCCTCTCTGTCTAAGTGAACAAGTGTGTACAAGACAGTTTTCTCAGTCACTTTACTCATTTACCTCTCATCAGTTTGTTTAAGCTTTAAACCAGCTGACACATTAACACATACTAGCAACACACAGTAAAATTAGCTTCTTCTACATTGAAAAAAATGCTGTTATGGCTAGCGCGCTAATTGCAGTTAGCTTTTCACTTTAACACACGTTAATGACGCAGTATAAACATATATACTTAATGACATTGGTTTATCCGTCTATTTTTAATCCGAAATAAATGACAGGAACACAAATAACGTCATAAAAACAATAGCGTAAATGTTTTCTTAACTGATCTTTTTGCTGGATATAAATTCACTTCACCTCTCTTAGGTGACTCATTTAGTTCATCAAAGTTAGCTCCAACATGTTGTTTGCCTGAAAATGTCTTCAGTTGCGTTCAGTTGTTCTGAAAGACACTCAGAGGAGTCGGCGGTTCACTTTTTTTCGGTAAGTACATTTTGTTTTAAGACTATTTTTGCTATCCAAAATTAGCATCTCTGTTAATATCACATTTCAGGTGAAGATGCACCTTGCTAACCAAGCTAGCGAGCTAGTGCTAGCGTTAGCTGATAACTTAGCGATTGCTATGCTAACGGTACCTGGCCCCGCTGGGCTGATAACCTGTGTCTACCTGGGTTAGCCCGTGGAGGTGTTCAGTCAAAGCCCAATAAAAAGGTGATTTTAATCGACGTTAATCTAACGACGTTTGGTTTGTGTTTCTCCACATGTGACCCAGTTTAAGTGATCTGCGTTAGTGTAATGCGCAGCGTTAATGTTGGTTAATACATTGTCCATCAAGACGTCGTGATAGTTCAAGTTAAGATAACGTGACGTTTACAAAATGTGTAGACAAATATTTGTCATATAGAAGATTGTTCATTTAATACTCAAACCAGTCCTCAACTGAAGCAGACATTCATGCACCTATCCTGACAGCTGATCGATATTTGTGATTAACTGTGATCCACCGCATCTTAACTCAAGTGTTTGTGTTTTATTGTCATTTGAAAGGTTTCCACACTGTGAAAACTGAGTGATCTGTGCCAACAGAAGGAGGACCTCATGTACAGAGCAGCCCATTTGTTTCCATTCATCTGGTTGTGGAGAAGGGAGACTGCATGGACATCCTTAGTTCTCTAATGTGCTGTGATGATGATGATGGTAGAAAACCTCTCCCAGTTCAGCTTCCTCTGATGAAATGACAGACTAACTGCTGATGAGTTAGTTTATTATTCTCTGTCTTCAGGATTCACAGGTTCAGTTTCTTACCTGAAACTTAATTTCTGCTGTTGTTGACAGGTGATGGTAGCAACACGTTTAACATCAGAATGTATAAATATTAAACTGTGATTAAGTGATGGATCATCTCTAGCACTGTCACCACCTCCACAGGTGAAAGTATTTACCAATTAACATCAGCATGTTTTTGATCCTTCATTGTCAGTGTTGTCAGACAACATTTAAATATTTCTAGTATTTATGTTGTTGATTAAAGCTAACATAGAAAAAGTCACACAGTGCTGTACATGTTACTATTGTGAAAATTCATACCAGATGTGTTCTATAAGTTAAAGCAAGAGCTTCATAAATAACTTTATTGGACATTATATACTACATTAATTTAAACAATTTGCAACAATGGAAACATGTATAAAAGAATAATAAATAGATTAATTAAATACTATACAATTGTAGTATAGTAAAGCATGAAAACATCATACTATAGTAAGGCATAAAAACTTTTTAAAAAGTCATAGTAAGGAATAAAAACGTCATAGTATGGTAAGGCATGAAACGAAATAGAATAAGACATAAAAAGTAATAAAAACATAGTATAGTATGGCATAAAAATGTTATATTATAATAGGGCATAAAAAGTTATAGTAAGGTATTAAAATGTCAAAACGTCAGAATAGTAAGACATAAAACTACATAGTATAGTTGGGCATATAGAAAGGCATAAAAACGTCATAGAATAATAAGGAATAAAAAAGTCTTTAGAGGAAGTTTTTGAAGGCAGCAGTATTTAGTTTACAGGGAGTCTCTGAACGCAGCAATCTGTACTTTACAGGGAGTCTTTGAACGCAGCAGTTTGTGTAGCAATGTGTAGTTCACCCGAGGTCTCTGAACGCAGCAGACGTCAGAATAGCAGGTGTCTCTGCATCACTTCACATCTCGCTGTTATTTCATCGTCCCTGAGCCTGTCCGGTGGCTCAGGTCTGATCACTTTATTTTTAATCTTTAATGAATCGATCCGCTCCTGCTCCAGCTGCCCGCCTCTCTACCTGCCTGTGTAAACACTGAGGGACGGGCAGGTGTGTCGGTATGTCAGGTAGGCTCCACGGAAGTGAGATACTGAGTGTTTAGAGACCACAGGATCGACATCAGCTTCAGATCACAGCTGCTCCTTCAACATGGCGCCCAGAGACCCTCTCCTCAGCTCCCTCAGAGGTAAGGATCAATACCAGATGATTATTGATCAGCTGACTGAAACGTCACAACAACAATAACAACAACATGTTTCCGCTTTGGTTTTATTTCTGCTGCGGATAAACTGACGATCACAAACACATCATGTATCCTCTGTGAAACCGTGACGATAACACAGCTGCAGGAAACAGCTGGTGTGCGTTGAACAGCTGGTGTGTGTCGGTGACGTCAGACTGTTGTGTGTCCTCGCAGTGTGTGTCCTGAACCTGCAGTCAGGTGGAGACACGGTGACAGACTCCGACGCTCACCTGACCTCCTGCTGTGAGCTGCTGGAGCTGGTCCTCAGGAAGGGGCTGCAACGTCAGTATGACGACACACTACACCTGTACCTGTTGGTTACCTACAGACACATACACTGGATAAGTGTTAACAGCTCATGTGTCGAACAGTTGAAATTGTTTTTACATTACATGTTGATCCTCTGAGGTGTGTGTTGACCTCAGACCGAGTGTGTTGTTGTGTCTCATCAGAACCAGTTCTCAGTCTGGGACACAGAGACTACTGGCAGTGCTTCGAACAGCTTCCTCACCAAGACACCTGTACCAGGTAACATCATCATCATCATCATCATCCTCCTCCTCAGATCAGCTGACGTTTCTAACACTGTACTAACTGGACTGTAACAGCTGATTTTGTGTGTGTGTGTGTGTGTGTGTGTGTGTGTGTGTGTGTGTGTGTAGGCTGTCTGCTCTGTCCCTGGCAGTGGAGCAGACCAGAGTTTGCAGGAAGCTGCTCTCAGCTCAGGGTCGGGGCCGTTACCTGCTCAGACTGGCCCTCAGTCGCAGGATCCTGCCCCAGTTCATCACACACCTGCTGCACACGCCCCGGGTCCTGGAGGTCAGACACACACTGTTTACACACACTGATCTCCTCCTGGTGTGTGAGGAGTCTGTCCCTGAACCTGCAGTGAATGTGTCTCTGATGGTTCTCTCTGCCTCTCTCTCCTCCAGTGGTTCAGTCCAGCTTCAATCCTCAGGAATGAAGAATTAGTGGGTGAGTCTTTTTTACTTGATCTGATTGTTTTCACTGAACACACCACAGCAGCTCTAAGACCTGTTCTCCCGCCTGTCCTCCCCCCACTCTCACTCCTCAGAGCCCTTCATGTCGCTGCTGCTGGTCCTCTCTCACATGGACTTTAAACTGGACCTGGAGGTCAGAGCGGCTCTGTTTACACCTGTAACATAAATATATTACTATATAATATAATACATTATAAAATAAATATAATATATTATTATATAATATAATATAATATAAATAGAATATATTATTGTATATTATTATGTGTAATAGAACCTGAAGCTCCACTCTAACAGTCACCTCTGGTCTCTACACAGAACTGTAGTTTTCTGGATGAGAGCTGGCTCCTCCCGGTAAGAAACAGAATGTTTATTCTTCATTACATTACATCATTATTACATCATCATCACATCATCATCACAGCTTCAGTGGCTGTGGGAAGTGGCTCCGCTCAGTTGACTGTATGTGTGTCTTCAGGTGTGTGAAACATACGAGGTGGTTCCCTGTCGGGAGGTCGGCATGGTGCTGAGGTTTGTATCTTCTTCTTCTGTTCATGAGCAGGTGAGTCCACGCTGCTGCATCATCAGGTCCCTCTGTTTGTCTCTCAGGTACCTGAGTGGACGCACCTTTGTCCTGGACCTGTTGCCTGGCAGTCAGGCTCACGTCGATAGGTTTATCTGTCCTGGTGACATCATAGACGAAATCAACGGGACGTCACTGAAGAACTCCAAGTGTGGACAGGTAGAGAACCGTTCAGAGAGGTGTGTTACAGGTAGAGAGCTGCTCCAACACTCAGTGATGTGTTACAGTAATAACCAGTGACATCATCGGTCTATGGGTCAGTGCTGGTTTGAATAACAGTCTCATATCTGCTCTTTAAACACCTGGTCTTATTGCTGATGTCTCATATGTTATATAGATAATATATATAATGACCTGAACTCTCATAGCTCACCTGGACTGAGATCAGTTTCATCTGCTGATGTCTTTGTTGTCCCAGGCAGGTGTGGTTCTGTCACGGCTGAAGGGCAGCCCACTGACTATCCGCATTCTCCGGTGGAGGGCCCATGATGGAACGGTGTATCGGCCCCTCATCAAGCTCCTGCGGGCCCTGAGGGTGGAGAACCCTACACTACAGCTCGGTCCGGCCCCCTCCCCACAGTCGGCCTCCGAGGACCAGAGGCCCAGTCCTTCACACTGTCTCAAAGAGGGAAGGTGAGCTGGCTTCTTCAGGTAAACAGCTGTTTACTATGTGAAGCCTTGACATTCAGACACTGACCCTCCTCTCCTCTCACAGGATCGTGTACATCGTGCAGTTCTTGGGAAAAACAAACATTGGAATGGTAAATAATAAATATATAATGAAATCTTGGTCAGTGAATGTGATTGCCTTTGGCAGCTGTGTGACATCTGCTCTTTCAGTTTGGAGGGAAGGAGGTGCTGCAGCAGGCCATTCCACAGGTGTTAGAGAAGAACCTGCCTGGCCAGGTAAGGAAGCCACACCCCTGCCTGAGGGCGTGCTTGACTCACTCATGTCCTGCTCAGAAAACACACCGTTATGTCATTTGTCCTGCAGGAAGTGCTCTTAGACATGAAGGAGACACACCTGACGTGCACAGACAAGAACAGTAAACAGGTGAGTATGTGCACGTGACACTGGTGTTCAGCTCTGTAAATCCTCCTGGACTAACACGCTGCCTGTGTTTCCTCAGGTGCTGATTGAGCATCACTACCCAGAGATCTCATGTGTGGGGAGATTTGGTCAACCGGACTACACCGTATTTGCATTTTGTGTGGCGTAAGTCTCTAATTTAAATACTACAGCAGCCACTGACACCGTTTCATCATCCATCCACACATCCCAGCTGTAGTTAGGCAACACCCCTCCATAGAAAACATGTGGCGATGCAATACCCAGGGCCCCTACAGCTCTGTCATTGGCTGGACCTACATGTCATCCTAGCATGTGATTGGTTGTGTTCACAGAGACTCCCCAGAAACCCCTCAGTCAACAGGCTTCTGCTGTGTGGCACTGAGAGCCAGCAACATCAAGGAGTGTGACGAAATTGTGTGTCGTATCGGTGAGACAATGGTTACACACACACACAGTTAACAGAGGTCTATCTCTACATGTTCACTAACAAGGTTTCTTTTCCTTCCAGCTGCTGGCTTCAAGCACACCGAGTGGTTTGTATGATAAATTAACTGTCAGCCATTTGTGTTGTAAATAAATGCATATAAAAACCATACACTGTCTGAATAACTACAGAACACCAGACTTTCTACTCATAAAGACCTTTAATAGAAAGACATGTGACAACATTTTCATAAATAGTATTAAGTGTAGCTGCCAAGATTTTATGTTGGAAAACATGTAAAAATCAGTCCAGAAAAATACAGAGGGTCTGTCCTGCTCCCCGTCAGAGTGCCGAGTATCAGACCGACACTGCAGTGACACCTGCTGAGCAAGACATGCTGGCATTGTGTAAATGGTAGATGGGTGAAGAGACCCTGGACCCCCCGTGGAAGATGTGAAGAAATCATCCTTGCTTCTATCAGATACCCACAGACCATGAGGGGTTTTATGATGGCTGCAACATGTCATGACCCATGATAGAATAGGTAGATATTCCTACTGTACTACCAACTACCCAAGTGTACTCAGGTTGTGGAATGGTTGATGTTTTGTCTCAAATCTAAAATACAATACAAAATTCAAAAAGAAAAGTTATAAAAAATACCCAAGAAATAAAAATGTCCACAAAAATGGTTAAGTACGATAAATAGGATCATTTGCAGTGAGGACACTGCCACTGGACACTTAGGCCCTCTCTCCTCTTATCCTGCGAGCCAGCTGGATGTCTTTGGGCATGATGGTGACACGCTTGGCGTGGATGGCGCACAGGTTGGTGTCCTCAAACAGACCCACCAGGTAAGCCTCACTGGCTTCCTGTAGGAAGGAAGAATGAAATGAGGCATTAGGCTGATATCAGCTACTGCTCATGTTACACCAGGAGTGACACGCATAGACACGTTATTTACCTGAAGAGCTCCAATGGCCGCGCTCTGGAAACGCAGATCAGTCTTGAAGTCCTGGGCGATCTCCCTCACCAGACGCTGGAAGGGCAGCTTGCGGATCAGAAGCTCAGTGGACTTCTGGTAACGACGGATCTCCCTCAGAGCCACAGTGCCAGGCCTGAACGACAGTGGTGATTTTAGTGCCAAAGTGTTCAATATAATGACCACCAATACTCACGTCATAGATGAACATAAACACTACAAACCTGTAACGATGGGGCTTCTTCACCCCCCCTGTGGACGGTGCGCTCTTTCTGGCTGCCTTAGTAGCCAGCTGCTTCCTTGGCGCCTTTCCTCCAGTAGATTTACGGGCGGTCTGCTTGGTACGGGCCATCTCGCTAAGAACAATTAAGAAACTGTTATCTAAGATTAAGACCTGCTGACATCCACAGTCTCAGTCCTGACAGCATCAGAAACAAATGACAAATTAACAGCTTAAATCCATACGCCGTATAGCCTGGCTTGCTAAACCAGGGCGCTAGCTTAGCAATAGCATAATAGAGTAATAAGAGCTCCCCTCCCCCAGGCTGTGGCTACATGGAGGCATAAGGTTTGCTTCGATAGGCTCTACAGCGTCTACCAGCGAGGCCTAAACAGTCACAATCGGAGCGAATCAACGAGGGTCAAAGTTTGTTATAATCGACAAATGGTGCCACTGTCATGTAAATCAACGGTTTACATCGGAGATTTAGACGACAATATGGTTAACTAGCCCACATCAACCTCGGAAGACAATGTTAGCCAACCTTGGGCCTATTTAGGAGGTTCGGTTTCACTTTAGTGAGCTAACCGTGACGTTTAACCAGAAACGTCAACTGTTAGAGAGCCCATTGTTCTATTTTTAGCTAACGCTAACATTAGCACGTAGACATTTTAGCCTCTTCCACAAACAATCGCTGTAGACAGACACACAATCCCCAGATACATATCACGGTGACAACAACCAAACCATTAAACACATCATATACAAATTAAAACGTTTAGATTTACCTTTAGGCTGAAGCTTGATGTAGAATAATCACCGCGGCGGACGAGGAGTCGGTAACAGCCACTGACGACGGTTCGTGTTGGGAGGGGGACGTCGAGGCCAAGTATTAGTATTTTTCGTGACGTCATACTTGTAAACTACTACACGCTGATTGGTTCGCTTTCCAAAGTTATAATTTGCAGCCAATAAGATGAAGCAAATGAAAACATGTGACTTCGGCTCCGAATTTATTCCTGTATCACAGTTTTCTATAAACCGTGTGTAAAGTTATGTGTCTTTATTAAACATTGTCATAGTGTATGATCTGAGCCCGGAAGTGTTCACCGAGGTGCTCACTCGTTAGTTTAGTTAAGACTGAACTTCATGTTCCATAGTTCCGTGCGCTCCTGTTGGCCCTTCGCTACTACTTCCTCCTGTCTTGCGCAAGCTCACATCGTTGTAGAATGCGGATTTCGAAGCTAACACGAATAGCTAGCCAGTAAGCTAAAAACAAGGTTCTTGTCTTTAGGCTTTAAACTGGAAAAATGTCTAAAACACACTCACAGCCGCCGTCAAGTTCGGCGGCGACGTCTACCGGGGGACCCTCTTCGTCCTCTTCGTCTTCGCCCGCAGGGGGCTCGACATCTCCCGCTACCGTGTTGAATATACAGCCCGAGAAACCTCAACATTACACGTACGTAGCTAGTTAGCAGGATTAGCTAGCTAAGTGTACACAGCCTTACATGTAGTTGTATTTACCAATCTACTCATACTTTTTATTGTAAAAATGATTGAGTGATAAATGTGTTATTTGTTGACTGAACCCTGTCTGTTCAGATTGTTATAATGTGCTCATTAACCGGAGCAGGTCTCCATAAAGAGGCCTAACGTTACTCACTAAACAGTGGTCATGTTTTAAAGCTCTGTGGGGATCATTATAACCCCACCTGTGTGTTTCTGGATGTGTTACAACATGTGATGTTAGTCTCAGTAAATTATACAGGAGCCATTTAGAGGAGGAGGTTCATCCGAGCAGCAGAGACCAGGGTGAGGTTAGATAGGAAGAATCATTACTATAGACAAGGATTTGGTACTGTAATATGTACTGTAAATACTTATGGATGCACTCTATTGCAGTGAATCTACGGTGAAAGACGGTAACATCGTCTGTTCATGTATCCCACTTTCTGTTGTTGTTTCTCTCTCTGGCAGATACCTGAAGGAATTCAGAACCGAGCAGTGCCCCCTGTTTGTGCAGCATAAATGTACACAGCACAGGCCTTTCTCCTGTTTTCACTGGCACTTTTTGAACCAGCGGCGCCGGAGGCCCATTCGCAGACGGGACGGGATGTTCAACTACAGCCCAGATGTTTACTGCACCAAATATGATGAGGGAACGGGGACCTGTCCTGATGGAGACGAGTGAGTGCAGCTGAGATTTCATTGATGTGTTTACACTGATTATTACAGCCATTCAACAGACACACACTGTTAACATGAAAACTGAAGGATGTCTGTGAAAGAGGAAGTGTTACTGTTGTTTTAACTCACCACACATGAGAGTTTACACTGTTTCACTTTCTGGACTGGGTATTTTGTTTATGTCAACAACAGTGAAATGAATCACTTTTGTTAGAAACCCCGTAGAACACAGGTTTTTGGGGGGTTTACAAAAACCACTTCATCTTTAAATGCTCAAATCTCGCTGTATCCCAGTTCTAACATGTGCAAGTACATTTAAATCCTGAATTGCTCAAGTGAACCTCAGAATGTGTAGGACGTTGCATGACAAAGGATTTTGTCAGTGAAGTGGTGGTTGAGGAGACACACGTCCACTATTTTAAATCAAGCTGAACACTGGAAGAATAGTGTGTGATGCATAATCTCTACAGTGAGCATTAGCACCTGAACACAACCACTCTCCCTCTCTGGGGTCTGTCCTCCACTGAGCCGTTATAGCAGCCCCTCTGTGACACACACAGACAAAGAAAATGTAAATGTACAGGATGAAGTTGATTCAGGGTCAAACTGGGTCTTTGATTCATGCTAATGAACCACTTTGGCTCTAAGTCCATGTGTAAACACACCCAAAACACATTGAAGATTCATCTGAGATCTGATATGTGAATTACTCCCGTGTTACTCCTCATCACAGAGAGGTGGGAACTTTTAAAGTTCTCCTTCAGATACATTTTCAAAGGGATTTGACACATAGAAAAACACTGTGATACGTTATTAATGTAAAGTTTAGCAGCCAAAAAGATTCACTGTGATTTCAGCCAGAAGCTCAGGAAGGTTGTGACTTTCTCTCTGATGAAATTAGTGAATACCAGTGTGTTATGATCCATGCAAATCACTTAAGTCACACAGTCTCAGTTTAATGGTCATGGATTTTATACTGTGTCTCATATCAACAGTGTTTCTGATAAGATACAAAAGTGCTGCATTGTTTATTATTTAGAACATTATTGTTACAGTATGTAGTATATACTGGACACTGTCTGTCTGTGTGTCTCTCTGTTCATTTCTCTGCTGTGAATAAGAGTTCTCTCTCTCTCTCTCTCCCTGCTGCATTGTTTATTATTTAGAACATTATTGTTACAGTATGTAGTATATACTGGACACTGTCTGTCTGTGTGTCTCTCTGTTCATTTCTCTGCTGTGAATAAGAGTTCTCTCTCTCTCTCTCTGTCTCCACCAGGTGTCCGTTTCTCCATCGGACAGCAGGTGACACTGAGCGCAGGTATCACCTCCGCTACTATAAAACAGGATCATGTATCCACGAAACTGATGCAAAGGGCCACTGCAGTAAAAACGGCTCCCACTGTGCCTTTGCACACGGGTCACATGACCTGCGCAGCCCTGTCTATGACATCAGGTACACCAGAGAAATCAACCCAAAGAAACACATGAACCGGTGTCTCTGTGCTGTGGTCCTTAACACTGTGATTTCTACAGGGAGGTGCAGGTGATGGAGTCTCAGGGAGGCTCGGGGGCCTCGGAGGGAGGAGGAGGAGGGGGAGGAGACGGGCAGTCAGGACAGGCAGCGAGTACGGCCCTCATAGAGAAGATCCTGAGTGAGGAGCCGCGCTGGCAAGGTAAACCAGCTGTGATCTGCTCTGACTGATGATACTGTGGTAAATACTTCACATCTGATCCACGACACCTTGATGTTGCTTTGATTGTGACTCTGGGATGTTTGCGTTGTTTCTCTTCAGATAACAACTACGTGCTGTCTCACTACAAGACGGAGCTCTGTAAGAAGCCGCCTCGTCTGTGTCGTCAGGGTTACGCCTGTCCATATTACCACAACAGCAAAGACAGGAGGCGGAGCCCGCACAAGCACAAATACAGGTGCTCTGTCGCATCATGTAGAGATGATGGTTTCGTTGTCACTCGACTGTGGTTGTGTTTAATGAAGCTGTTGTTGTCCCTGCTGCTGCAGAGCGCTGCCGTGTCCAGCTGTGAAACAGAGCGAGGAGTGGGGAGACCCCAGTAAATGTGAGGGAGCAGAGGGATGTCAGTACTGTCACACCAGAACAGAGCAGCAGTTCCACCCAGAGGTTCGTGTCTCTGCAGCTGTTTTACATGATCGACGTCTCGGAGTCTGTTTGTGAAGGGAGCTGAGGGGGCGGGGCTTTCTTCATTATTAAATAAAAAATGATTAAACGCACAGCCAGTAACTTCTGCCTGTAGGGATCTCTCAATCAAAACAATAACAAAAGACGGCGTTGGGTGACATCATGAAACAGTGTGGGATCATGGGAGTTGTTGTCTTCACCTCTATTACCAAAAGCTCCTCCCGGTTCTGCTTCCTTCAGTGTCGGTGCATCAGGAAATCAAACAGACCCGTGTACACAGCACTATGATTCACTCAGTGACGGGAGTTAATGTGGGAGTTAATGTGTGTGTGTGTGTGTGTGTGTGTGTGTGTGTGTGTGTGTGTGTGTGTGTGTGTGTGTCACAGATCTATAAGTCCACTAAGTGTAACGACATGCAGCAGAGCGGCAGCTGTCCCAGAGGACCCTTCTGTGCCTTCGCTCATGTAGAAAGTGAGTCCTACACGTCTCTGATCTCTTCTATGATAATAATTTTATTTATAACAATAAAATAATATACTAATCATTTAACTACATTTTTTTAAACCCCCTCCAGAGTCCTTTGTTCCTGAAGAACCATCATTCCCCACCCCCAGCTCTCCTCCGCCTCCCAGACCTCCAGACCCAATTCCTGCCCAGGAGGCCTCTTCAAGTCCCAGTGGACACAACATGGGGTCAAGACCTGGTTCTGTGTCAGACCCCTTCTCCCCGTCTGCAGGGCCATGTGTTGCGGAGCAGGGGCTGCTGGGTAGCGTTCTGTCCCTGTGTGAGGACGTGGGCGGAGGGTCTGGGCCTCTGTCTCCGTGGGCGGGGGAAGGAGGGTATGGCAGGGCTCCTGGATTTGAGAGGGAGGATCAGGTGAGACGGACATTGTCATGGTTACTAGAGGCAGGTGTGTCCGCCGTGTTGTGATGTCATCAGACTGATGTTGTTTGTGGTTTCAGGCCAAGCAGAGGAGTTTTGCTCTGGAGCAGCGAAACAGAGAACTGGCCTCAGCACAAAGTAAACAGGTGAAGTTACAACAGAGTCTGGTCACATGACCTGTCTTCACCATCCTCAGTCTGGTCACATGACTTGTCTCCACTGTCCTCAGTCTCATGTTTCTGTCAGGACACAGTGACGTGACTCTGTGTGTTTCAAAGACCACCTTCTGTCTCCTTCAGGACCTGCTGGTGTTCCTGCCGGTGGGCAGTCCTCTGAGTCTGTCCTCCAGCATCCCCTCCAGTCTGGCTGCCACCCCGCCAAGCCCCGCCCCTCTCGGAACCCTGGGGTCCAGCATTTCCTCAGGCATGAACGCTAACGCCCTGCCCTTCTACCCCACCAGTGAGACCGTGGAGTCAGTTGTTGGTAAGTGTAGTCGACCTTCCAGTAGAGTTCAGGGACTTGATTTTGGAGGATCAACAGCTGACTGAGACTCTGTGTGATGGTTTGTCCAACATTAATATAAATAGTATAATTGCTGATGTTTGTTGTTGTTGTTGTTTGTGTTGCAGAGTCGGCTCTGGATGATCTCGACCTCAATGACTTTGGTGTGTCTGCGCTGGAGAGGAGGCTGGAGAGCAGCTCTACTGTGGGAGTGATGCTGGGTATTTAAAGACAGGCATCAAGTTATAGAATATAAATAAATCCAGCAGTGTACACACACACACACACACACACACACACACACACACACACACACACACACACACACACACACACACACATAATAACCCCTGTTCATGTGTCTGTAGGAGGCAGCCAGCTCCAGAGTTCTGCTCCAGTCAACATCCCAGGCTCTTTCAGCAGCTCTGCTCCCTTCAGCTCCCCGTCACCGTCTCCTCCAATCAGGCCGCACGCGTCACCTTTCTTCTCTCACCTCTCCCAGCCCGGCCAATCAGAGGGCTCCTTCTTAGGGCCGTCTCATGGCTCTTTAGGTTTGTGGAGCAGGATTGTAAACATGAGCTGGTGTGGTGAGGTGTGACCTGACCGTGGTTCTCTCTTCTCTCTGTAGGTCTGAACGGTATGAACACTAACATCTGGGAGCACTTTCCCTCCGCCCAGGGCTCCCCCGGCACGCCCCCCACCCTGCTGCCGTCTGGCCCCTGTGCAGAGACTGGCAGGCTCAAACAGGAGCTGGAGGAGGCCCACAGGGCCCTGAAGCAGTGGGGCCACAGCTGGAGACACACAGCTCAGGTAGGTAGGTAGTGGGACATGTGTGCTTGCATGTCTGATGTAGAGTTTGTTTACAGACACAGTAGTTTGTTGTTTATGTGTTTGCACCTGTAAACATCTTATTCAGGTTTTCAGAAACCTGGATCTGCCTGATACAGACCAGGAAGTGAGGGCAGGAAGTTACAGATTAACTGATGGAGGTGTAAATGATAAATTATCAAGTGATATGATGAAAACATGTATCATCAGTGTCCTGTCTTTATATTCATCATGCACAACATCTTGGTGCAACCCAGAGGTCAGGTCCAGACCCAGACACATAACTGATAAATTACTGAGAATAATTCAATTTTGACGCAGCTTTTCTCACCTTTACAGCTCTGGTCATGTGACGCTGCTCAGCCAATCACTGTGACTGGAGTCTGTGAGTGAGATACTCACAGGGGAGAGAGAGGAGGATGTTACAGCTGTTCAGTTGTTAAGATGTGACTGGTTGACAGATTGTTAACTGGTTAACTGTTGGAGTTAACCATGAAGACTAAAAATGTAAAGCTATGCTACACTTTTTATTTCATTTTTAAAGTTGAGCTCTTTATTAGACACTTGGATCTCAGTGGACCTGTCTTTCTGTCTGTCTGTCTGTCTGTCTGTCTGTCTGTCTGTCTGTAGTCCTGGGCTGCAGTGAAGGCTGACGCCGAGGAGTCTCGTGCCCACGCAGCTCGATTAACCATGGAGGCAGAGAGAGCGAGGCAGGCCGAGGAGGAGGCTCAGAGGCAGGCCGCTCTCCTGCAGGAGGCGCTGGAGAGCTTGAGGAGCGGAGACAACCCCCATCTAGCGCTGCACCAACTCCAGCTCCTGCACAGACTGCCCCTGGAGTCGGTCCTCAGTCTGCAAGCTCAGCTCTGCAGCTGCCTCCACGCTGTAGAACAGGTGAGACCAAACACTCACACACACCTCATACATGAGTCTGCTGCTACTTATTATTATGCTTATGAAATAAATATATAACGTCAGGAATCATGACAAGTTCCCACGTGACAAAGTGTTGCCTTCAGGTTCCTCTGGGAGTTTTTTTTTTTTTGTCGGACCCCTTGACTCCAGTCTAACAGGTGTAAACCTCCGTGTTGACCCAGGTGGTGTACAGGAAGCAGAGACAGTGCTGCGTGACGTGTGGAGAGCCCGGCTCGGTGTCTCTGCCCTGTGGTCATGGACTACAGTGCGAGACCTGCTCCAGCTCTACCGAGTGCCCCCTCTGCCCTGAACAGACCCTGGATCAGCAGCTCTCTTGACCTCACGGCCCAGTGGGACTGTCACAGACCACAGACCAGTCAGTCCTGATTCCACAGAAACCAGCCTCGGATCTGAACCGCCTTCAGAACTACGTGGAGGTCTTTTTCTAACATGTATTTTCAGATGACGTTTACTGACAGACGACCAGCTGAGGGCGCTCTGGTCTCTAAATGTGGGATGAATCAGTTTCCAGTGTTACCATTGAACACCAGTAGGTTTTTATTACATTAAGCTCTTGACCAACAGCACTGTTCTTCACCATGTTCTTGAACGTAACTTAAAGACCTGCTGTTATCTCTTCTCTAAGAAAAACCATAAAACACACACACACAGTTCTGAACCACGTTTAAAGCCTAAACCAGCACCTGAGCGTTTCAGTGCCAGAGCTGTGGCACAGGTGAGCTCTCTGTCCAGAAATCAACACTTACCTGTGACGATCAGTCGGGAGCAGGTTTAACCAAGCTCCCTGTGTCTGCTGTTTGTGAATGAAGCACAGATATGAATGTTAAACTGCAGTTTGTCTCAGTGTGAGATCATCAGTAACTGTGATTTCTGGAGGAGGAGGTGACGTGGTGTGAACAGACAGGTGACTCCAGGTTCAGCAGGTTTTTATTGAGACGTGTCTGAACAACAACAACAACAACAACAACAACAGGTGTGAAACAGTCATTCACATTGATCCAGACAGTAATCTGATACAGCCTCTTATTTTCATTCTGATTTTCTTAAAATAGTTTTTTAGCTGAAGAAATAAAGAAGGTGAATTCTGTTAATAAAGAGAGAAGATATTTAAAGTGTAGTAAATGTGTGTAACAGACGGCTTCTGTTCAAGCTCAGGTTTAACAAACTGGAAACATGTTAACAATCAGTCTCTCAAATTACATCTTTTTTTTACTTCAATAATTTTCATGTCATTTTTGTTTAAACTCATCGTGTGTCAGGTTTTTACATCTGTAGTAATCTTTGACATTTCACAGTGTGTCAAATGTAGTCTAATATATATATTATATATATATATATATTATATATATATACCCATAGTTACGTGATGTCATACTTATCTCTTGCACTGATTAGAAACAAAGCATCAGGAAGCGAACATGTACAGGTGTGTGAGGTGGAAATGCAGGTGAACATGATCATGACCCAGTGTTTCCTCTGAGTGGACGTCTCTGTGTTTTTTGGTACAGATCATTAAACAAATTGTATATTTTTGGAGAAGAACTTGTCTCTGTCCATCACTGTCCGTTTCCCTCCTGTGACTGTTTCTCTCTCTGTCGTCGCTTCTTCACGAAGGCCTGAGCTTCCCGCTCTCCTCTCCTCGACTCCAGCAGCCTCAGGATGACGTCCTCTGCACAACACACAAAGTAATTCATGTTTACATCAGTAGAACTGGATTCACATCCCAGTTTCATCGCAGCACTCACAGTCACAATGTTCAAACTCAGATCAGAAACCAAACAAACAGGTTCAAGGTAAAGTTTGAACTAATCAGATTCCATGGTGATAATTAAAGAACAAATAAATAATTAAAACTGTCTGAGTTAACGGACCTGCAGGGTGATGATGATGAGAGCAGCCTTCATGTTTTCATGATAAACAGTTTCCTGTTTACACGACCAGCTGACAGAGACTCCTTCATTAAGAGCTGTCCTGTTAGCTGCTAGCGCTGGTTAGCTGTTAGCTGTTAGCTATACACCAATTCAACTCATTAAAATTAAATAAGTTTTCTACTTTAGCTTTAATTTCTCCTTCGCTGAGTTACTGAAGCGTGTTGCACTGAATCTCTTAAAAGGAACAAGAAAGAAAAACACTAAGGCATTAAAGCAATGACAGATTTTACAGAGCTGCTCTCTCATCCTGTTGTTTAGGCGGGAACTTCACCAGTGTTCATCAGACAGTGTTTAAACTCAGTGAGTGACGCACTGTTGATCTGTTGACATGAAACACCTTGATCCTGGAAACTACAACAACCTACAACAACATTTATCACCATAAACTCCTTAAATTAGAGTCACAGCCACCTTTAGTTTTTTCCGTCTTTGGTTGATACGGTTTAAGTGACTTTAAGTGATGAGTAAATGTAGAATGAAATGAAATACGATGAACTGAAATATGCTTAATGTTCTGTAGAGCTGAAGAGTGAAGACCCTGTTTTCTCTACATCTACAGTCAATTTGAAAATATTAATTAGTGCAGCTTTAAGTCAGGTTTCTTTCTTATCATATAATGTGATGTTTTTGTGCTCACACATCTGTCACACATCTGGATACTGGACAAGTAAGACAGAAGGGTTAACAGGGACTCAGTGTGTGTGTCCTGACAGGTTAATGTGACCTGACTGGTCTGGACCCACCGATCGTACCATTAGGTTTAGGATGCATCAGAGGAAGGCGGATCTGAGCAGGGGGGCTGTCCGGCTGTGAGCTCAGTCCATCTCCGCCCCGCCCTCCTCCTACTCCTGGAATGGCCTTGAGTCCCAGGAAGGCCTCGCCCTCAAAGTCGTCTGTCCTCAGGGTGTCGTGGTCCAGAACCGTCACCGCCAGGCAGGCCCCTGGAGCCTGGCACTGATCGAGAGAGACCAGACTGTGACATGAAGGAGGGGGGTGGAGATAAAGGAGGTCAGGATCATGTTCAGAGACCCCAGGCCGACTTGTGAACACAGACAGAATAAGACCAGGATCTTACAACTCGAAGGCCTCATCAAAAAGAGGGTTGAGGTCACAGTCTTTGATCTGAGTGCAGCGAGGCTCCACCTCCCTGAAGATGTGGTTCGGCTCCAGGCACAGCTGCACGAACGGATCACTGAGACCTGAGGAAGACATCAGCTGGTCAGGAGAGGTCACAGTGATGAGCGTTACCTGTCATGTGACTGGTCTCACCATTAGAGTCCATCGGTAAGAGGTTGACTGCATTCAGCACCTCCACCCTGAGTCTTTGGTCTGATCTTCTGTAGGAGGTGAGGAGGGTGACGGCTCCGTACTTCTCTCCACTGTACACATTCTGCAGAGAACACAACGTCAGAACCGACAGGAACACCGGTCTGCACCACCTGCAGCAGGTGTGTGTCTTACCTGCTCCTTTATCTTCCTGTCAAAGAACTTCTGCATCAGCTCCTGGCTGCTCAGAGAGTTGTGGGTCAGGTGAGCTTTGAGAGTCTGGACAGAGACAGAGATCAGTAACTGACACTGAAGAGATGAAAACCTTCCTCTGGGTCTGAGTCTCTCACCTTGTAGTCATCAGAGTGAAGAGCGTTCAGAGGGAGTCCATTTCCCTCCGCGTGGAAACACTGCTCCAGACACTGAAACACACAGAGGAGCTGATGAACTGAAACACACATCAATGTCATTCTTACGGCCAGTCCCAGTGGATCAGTCCAAGACTGAATTTCTGTCCCAGTCCGACCGTGGAGCCGATACCGGTCTGGTTTTACTGGGAGGAGAACCCTATGAGCTTCTTCTCCTCCATGTGTCAGTAACTTGATGGTTCATGATGTTACACGCCTGTTTTCATTAGTGAAGGCTACAGCAGACATGCTAACATTAGCTAACTTCCTGTTACCCTTATTGTGAATGTGTTCGGCATATGTTGCTATCGCTAGCTGGCTAACTGTCTACAGAAGCTGATTAGCGTCGGTATCAAAAATCAGTTTTAAAGTACAAATGTTGTCAGTTGATTGTAAAAGTTCTGGTTCTGCTGCAGTAGTCATGGTAACTAGGCGGCTCAGGACCAACCTGCAGGGTGTACAGCAGCCTCTGGCAGAACACCATCAACCCCTCCTGTTGCGAATGCTGAGTCGCCACCTGGTACAGGATCCTCACGGAGTTGTTCCACAGAGGAGTCAGGAGACTGGACATGAAGAAAAACAGTGACAACATCATGGACATGAAGCCATGATGAAGGAGGAAGATGATGATGATGATGATCCTTTACCTGTTGAAGTTCTCCTGGACCAGGTTTTCATTCATGTACTGCAGCTCCTGCTCCAGGTAGCGCATCAGAGGAGCAGCAGCCTGAAACAGAGAGGAGGCTGAGATCAGACGACACCTGACACCTCAGAACCAGGACTCATGTGAACTGGGACTGTCACCTACGTCCTCTGTGGACTTGGAGGGAATCCGCCGCCTGGTGGACATGCTTCTAACGTGGGTCTCGATGTCTGTGTTCAGCTGGAGAAACACACAGATGAAAAGGTGATGCAGTTTATCAGTGTCTTTATTTCACTTCCTGGTCCTCCTGCACCTGATGCACCTGAACACACCTTCTTTCCCAGCGTGTCTAAGGCGGACCGGATCTCCCGGCTCAGGATGCTCTGGGCCTGTTGCAGCTGGGAGGGCAGCGTGTTGTGGAACTGACTCTCCCCGATGACGGTTTGGGTCCGGTCTCGAAGCCCCGCCCAGTTCAGCTGTGTAGGAAGTCTGGTGAGGACGGACCTCAGGTGCTCCAGGTCGTTGACCACCACACACAGCTGCACACAGAGGAGGTGTGTGTGTTAATGTGTTAGAGATGTCTCCAGTCTCTTGTCTGTGTTTGTGTGTGTGTGTGTGTGTGTGTGTGTGTGTACCATGTTGATGGCACTGCCGTGGTCCGAGTTCTCAGACAGGATGCGGACCCTCTCCTTCAGGATGTGGCAGTAGTTCACCACGATCTTACACACATCCTGAAACACACACACCTCAGTCAGCTACCTGTATTTACTCAGATCAGGCCATGTGACCTCTCCGTGACGATGTACCTCAGTGAGTTTGACCATGAGCATGAAGGCCTCCTCGGGGTCGGGCCAGGACAGCTGTTCCCACAGCTGGCAGATGGGCTGGATACAGGCCACCAGGTCCACTGCCGAGGAGCTGTGTTTAATGGGCACTGAGCCGGACTGCAGCGGCTGGAGCTGAGAGGGATGTCAACGTGTCGTCATCTGATGGCTGATGATGTACATAGTCAATAATAAATAACAGCAGAGTGTTACCTGGTCCACCTGCACAGCCCGCTCCACCCGGTCCTGAGTCTTGCTGAAGGCCTGGTTGAGCCAGTACGGCAGAGCCTCCCTGAAATCCTCGTGGAAGTTGGTGAGCTCGAGGAGTCCCCTGAAACAACAGACAAACTCTGACCTGTCCCATCACACACACACACACACATTACAGGAAACACCTGAGTGGTACAGGGACGCAGTTAACATCCCATAATGCTCTGGGGCAGGTATGATCAGGCTGATCAGGTCCAGCTGATTCTGATTCTGTATCAAGAGAAAAGATCTGTGACTTTACAGAGGGGTCACTGTGGGGTCACAGAGATGATCAGCTGGTGTTTCCATAGCAACAGAGACTAAAGTGACATCTGTATTTAGAGTTGATTTTAATGAGGAAAATAATTCCTACCATAAAAGTTATGGACACATATTTGAAGTAATTAGCCACGCAACACTGAAGAACAACCTGGTGAAATAATTAACTCAAAGTAAGAAAATCAGCTACAGGTAATAGATAAACATCTGCGTCAGCTTCTGCCGCTCCTGGTGTGAGTGTGTTGTCTGACCTCTTCTGTAAGAAGGCCTTGTCTTTGTGGATGGCCTGCAGACTCAGGTAAACAGGGAACAGGCTGTTGGCCAGAGGCTGCTCCATCTGTCCCTCCATCAGTGACAGAGTGTCCTTCACTTCCTGCGCCAGCTGTGGGGGAGGGGACAGGAAACGTGCTGAGACGACACGACCGAGTCGAGCTCGCGAAGAAGAAACAAACACCGTCACTGATCACTCACCAGAGAGTCGAACCTCTTATAGACCACGGTGAACACGTCCACCTGCACAGCACTGAGCAGCCGGGAAACAACACTGATTATTACAGGAGTACAAATATTCCTCACACAGTTGGTCTGAACTTTCTTCTCCTGTTCTTCTCTGTTTAATTAACTGGTGGCTTCAAACCCAAACACAAGCTCTCTGTCTTTAAATGATATAATATAAATATAAGCACAGATGTGATCTGATAACAGCAGTTATTAATGTAATCTGTCACACCTGTCCCACCTTACCTGACAAACACCTTGTTCCAGTTGTCCTTGTTGTGTTTAATGTCCTCCTGCACCTCCCCAATCAGCCTGGAGAGGGCGCTGACGATCTCTGACAGCTCCTGAGTGTCGGCACAAAGAAACACAAAGTTAATACTGTGAGATGAAGCGGAGACACCTGGAGGCTAAGAGTGATGTCATGAGGTGTGTACCTTGGTCATGGGCTGGTGGAGACCCTTTTTGATGGTGAACCACTCCTGTGTACCTGTCTGAAGGTACAAGTACATCTCATGTAACTGAGGACTTATCATATTCACACAGTGATGATGTCATCAGAGTGATGACTCACCTGTATGGCCAAGCTGACCTCATCCTGCAACTCGAAGTGAGCTGGGTTCAGTTTCTGAAAGGCCTGGGTTTTACAGATCTGGACCAGGATTCTGAGGAAAAGCACAATCATGTTTAATTACAGCAGCCTCGTTAACACACACACACACACATGTGTTTGAGCGGTGACGTAAACATCTGCACCTGAGCGGTGAGTTAAACATCTGTATCTGAGCGGTGATGTAAACATCTGTATCTGAGCAGTGATGTAAACATCTGCACCTGAGCATTGATGTAAACATCTGTACCTGAGTGGTGATGTAAACATCTGCACCTGAGCAGTGAGTCGAACATCTGTACCTGAGCGGTGATGTAAACATCTGTATCTGAGCAGTGATGTAAACATCTGTATCTGAGCAGTGAGTTAAACATCTGTACCTGAGCAGTGATGTAAACATCTGTACCTGAGCGGTGATGTAAACATCTGTACCTGAGCAGTGAGTTGAACATCTGTACCTGAGTGGTGATGTAAACATCTGTACCTGAGCAGTGAGTTGAACATCTGTACCTGAGCGGTGAGTTAAACATCTGTACCTGAGCAGTGATGTAAACATCTGTACCTGAGCAGTGAGTTAAACATCTGTACCTGAGCAGTGAGTTGAACATCTGTACCTGAGCAGTGAGTTGAACATCTGTACCTGAGTGGTGATGTAAACATCTGTACCTGAGCAGTGAGTTAAACATCTGTACCTGAGCAGTGATGTAAACATCTGTACCTGAGCGGTGATGTAAACATCTGTACCTGAGCAGTGTGTGGAGTTTAGGATTAGCAGAGGCAGTTGGAGGGAAGATGTCTCTGTATTTGGACACCAGACAGAGTCCGTACTGCAGGAACCCGTGAAGAGAGTCTCCCAGTTCCTGTTTCTGGGGACAGAGAGAGAGTGACACAGTCCAACAGACATGAGCCCTCTCTCTGTTTAACTCACCAGCAGAGAGAGAGGAAACCTGTCAGCTATCGTCACACAGCAACACACCTGACTGACAGGTGAAAATAATGTCATGGTCTGTCCTCACTCTATGTTTGGACATTTGTTTCATTTCTTGTTTTTATTTTGTGTATCTTATGGTTTATTTACTTCCTGTTTTGTCCTGTTTCCTTCCTTGTTGTTTACCTGACCCATGTGTTTTTGCCTTTTGCCTCCCTTGTGCATTTTGGGTCCTAAGTTTCTTATACCTGACTCCTTATTATTCCAAAAATACTTTCATTTGACTGTCGTAGCTGTAGGAAAGCAGTGGAGTTAAAAGTAGAATATTTGAAATGTATTTGAGAACAAGTAGAAAGTAGAAAACATGGGAATATAAAACTCAAGTGCCTCACAGTTAGAGTATGTGACCTGACTCTGAGCTGGTCGTTACCTGCTGGTGCGGCAGCTCCTGCTGGTGCCAGTGATACTCTATACTGGTGAGCTGCTGCAACAACACGGACGAGTCCACCTCCAGGCTCTGGTACAGTTTACTGTAAGCTACCCACTTCCTGTGAGGGACACACACACACACACAGACTTACAATACACACACTGTGGTGCTGCTATGATTGAAATCACTGAGTATTATATAGATGTTTGTATACATCACAATGATTAATTCTCAGATATAGATAGATATAGATATAGTTTTTGAATGTGCAGCATTTGTTTTGGACTGTGTAGACTGTTCCTGAACACTCTTCATGTCTGCTACAGGTGTTGTATGTCTGTTACAGGTGTTGTACGTCTGCCAGATGTTGACAGGTGCTTACGCCAGGTCCTGGAGGAAAGGGGAGAGGTCGTTCTGCGTGGCGTAGAGCTCCAGCAGAGTCTGAGCCTCGCCACACAGCGCACCTTTCCACGGAGCAGAGCTCTGAGAGAAACCAGACGAGAGGATGAAGAAGAGACAGAGACAGAGGACGGTTTGTTTTTATGACAGGTGCTGACGGTGGGCGTGTCCTTTACCTGCTGCTTGGAGATGTACGCTTGAACAAACTGCTGCAGAATCCCACAATAGTTGACGTAAGCGTTGCGACCAGCACTCAGTGTCCCATCTCTCTGTCAGTCACACAACACCACAGTTACAGTTATAGTTAGCTGAACACCAGATGTTTGACAGATGTTTTCACGCATCAATGTTAACTGTATCTGAAATGCCACAGGGTGAGGAGCAGAGTGATTGTTTTACAGCTTTGTGGATGAACTTGAGGTTCAGGTGACACTGTCCACGGTCAGGATACGTCTCTGTTCTGGGCTGCAGGTTGTACCAGTTATCTTCACTACAGTGGAGGTCCTGCAGTCACACGGTACAGGTGCGTGTCAGGGTACAGGTGTGTGTCAGACAGTGAAGAGTGAAGCAGCTGTTATAAAAGAAGAACAGTAACTACCTGCAGCTTTAGGACAACGTTTCCCAGAAAGTCGTCAGTGCCTTTCTCCTTCTTGGCCTCCTTGATCATCCTGAACAGAAGAGTCAGAGTTCACAGCTTTGTCTGGTTCAGTGAGAGAGTCACAGAGGGAGTCTGGTACCTTCTTAAACTGTTAAAATTGGTTTTGATCTCCTCCAGTTTCTGGGTGAGGGACACCTGTTCGTCCTTGTCCCTGAAACAGAAGCAGCACAGTGAGGGTGGACGTGTTGAAGATGATGTTACAGCAGAGGAGGTGAGGGTGTGTGTGTGATTCTCTCACCACATCTCCAGATGGAAGTTTGCTCCTCTGACGTCTCCAAACTCTCTGAAACAGTAAAAATGACGAGCGATGTAAATATCAACCTGGTTCACCTGAGACGAAAAGGTGAATTCAGACTCACAGTATGAAGGTCTGGTTCCAGATGGGGTTCAGGGTCTGCTTCTTTATGTCTGTCTGGTAGATCTTGTCTCCTGATGCTGCGTCCTTCACAACTGATTTACAGGGTTTGGCTCTGGACTGGCGAGTCCTCTTCTCCTCCTCATCCTCCAGTATGGTCAGCAGACAGTACGGGTCACTGAAACCTGTTCACACACACCTGAGGTCACATGACGGCAGGAGACGACTCCACAGGTCGGTGTTATAAAAAAAAGACCACACATGGCTGAAGTGAAAGTGAGGATGAGAAACTCATATGAGAACTGAAAGTCACATTAACCACCAGACACGTACAGTCCAGGTAGTGAAACACATCAAGTAGAGTCACTGTAAAACACCAGGTCACTGTCAACACACAACTGCAGGAACAAATGTCCATTTAAATCATTTTTAAGATCAATATCAACTCAATATGAAACACTCTGATTATCATTATAATCCATCTCTCTGTAGGACTGACCCCATGTAGGTGGAAACAAACACTTCACTGAAGCTGTGTGTACAGTTCTGTCAACTAATTAATATAATATAATATGAGATAACATAAAATTGACTGAGAGACTACAGCTGTGTTAGCAGCCCTGTGACGCTCTGATGTACTAGCTACATGCTAATTTCAGCATGCTGAAATGCTCACAGTGACCATGCTAACATGCTCCTCAGGTTACTCCAGTTTGGTTCAGTCTGATAACAGTTGGTCTGATGGTTGTAGAAACGTTTCAAACTTCAGTGACATAAAGAAAAGCTCAGTGGTCACAGAGGAACAGCAGGACTCTGTCGTTCTGCATAAAAGCTTCATGGAGGATTTGGCTGCGACTCATGAACTTGAACACTAGGTGTCTCCAGTGAGCACTGAAGCTTCAACAGGTCATGAACCAATGGGCTGAGAGGCGTCACTACTTCAGGAAGCTTCATTATCTAAACAGGATGTTGACATGAGAACGGGTCGCCTCATCACTGAAGAGCCAGGTGGTCTGGTCTGCAGTGGTAACTCACCACTGACATCTTTTCCCAGGATCCCCTTTGCTTCCTTCACAGTGGCCATCAGACAGTACACTGGGGGCTGTGAGAGTCAGACTGTTATTCAATATTCTGGTGTTACACACACACACACACACACACACACACACACAGGTGAAGAGCAGGTTGTTGGTGTGAGGACTACAAATGTGGGCTATGGGGTCACTTCCTGTCTCACCTCTGTGCTCTGTACTCTCTCCATCAGACTGCTGTGCTCTGACTCTGTCATAGTGAAAGCCTGCAGACAGACAGTGTGTGATCAGTCATACACTAACAACGCGAGGGAACAATGTGTGTGAAGCTGACGGGTTCACCTCCTGGATGTACAGGTGAAGCTGTGGGTCTGTGAACACCTCCACTGACGATGGTTGACCCATCTTATGAGCGATGGTGTACAGCAGCTCCTTATACAGAGGCTTCAGCTGCAAAGAAATAGACAGAGTGAGAGCTCGCTGTAATAAAACAGAGTGAGAGCTCTCTGGAAATAAAACAGAGTCAGAGTTCTATGGAAATAAAACAGATTGAAAGCTCTCTGTAATAAAACAGACTGAGAACTTGCTTTAATAAAACAGAGTGAGAGCTCTCTAAAAATAAAACAGGGTGAGAGCTCTCTGGAAATAAAACAGAGTGAGAGCTGTCTGGAATAACACACACACAGACAACATAAACGTATAATAAAACATCTCATATGAAGAGCAGCAGGTGGATGGTGATACCTCCAGCTCCTTGTGTCTTCGTTCTTTCTCCTCTGGATTCTCATCTTCTTTAAAATCCTGAAGGACAGAAAGAATAAATTAAAGACTGTTTGTTAATGAGGTCAGTGAATGTACGAGACGATGTCCCAGGTTAGGTCATGAAGTGTCTCTTACCCTCCTCTCTCGTAGTTTCCTCGTCTGCCCCAGTTTACGAACATGTCCTGGTGAAAACTGACAAAAAGAAAAAAGAAAAAAAAACACACACACAAAAAAAATCAAATAAAGAAATAAAACGCAGTGACACCAAAACAACAAATACTGACAGGAACATATGAGTAACTTCACACGTTGACTCCATGAATACACAGTGCTGTTGATTATTTTCCACATAATGCTGCAGTGTGAGTCACTGGTTTCCATTCATTTCCATACAGAATAAAGGTTGTCTCTCCTGAAGCTTGTTTGAGTTGTGCACTCCACCACATGAAGGTTAAAGGTCAACAACAACATTCAGTATTACAGCTAACAGAAGTTAATATCAGTGGGTTTTAATCCCCAGCTCCAAAGATATTCTCAGTAGAGTATCTCTACAGACCCTGTCTGCCGGCTCCTGTCTTTCAAACCCTAAACTCTCATTTTATAACCTAACCAAGGTAACCTGTGGTGACATCAGAGATTTCCAGCATGTAGAGAAAGTCACTGACCCAGATCTGATCTATTGTGATGGACTACAGAAGTTAACTGGTCTTTAGCTCTGCTAGCACGTAGCTGGAGGGATGTTAAATCTGTTGGTGATTGATCCTCCACTCTGATCAAATATTTCAAAAACTATAGACAATAGTACATTTAGTTGAGTACTGTACTTCAGCATATTTTCAGTGTCTGTATTTGAGTTTTTTTTCTTTTTGTAAACTTCTGACTTTTACTCCGTGACACTTAAAAGACAAATATCGTACTTTTGACTCCACTACATTTCTTTTTTGGGCTTTTTTTTATGCCTTTATTGGATAGCACAGTAGAGAGAGACAGGAAATGGGGATGCAGAGAGAGGGGGAACAACATGCAGTAAAGGGCCGTCCGATGCGGGATTTGAACCGGGGCCGACTGCAGCGAGGACTGTAGCCTCTACATATGGGGCGCCTGCTCAACCCACTACAACCCACTACATTTCTATGAAGTGCTCTTACTTAAAAGCAGTGCTTTTAGTCGGTGCTTTTAGTCAATACATTGTGTTCAACACAGGAGAAAAACCAATCACATCCAACTCCTCCACTGTCAGTGTCCTAATGATGGAGATGTATGTTGAGAAGTAAAGATTCATTTAGACTGAAATGTTTGTTTCAACAATTCACCGTCCAACGGAGCTGTGAACATGATCCACCTCTGACACTTGGTCTCCAGATGATGATCCTAATGATTGTGCTCCTGCCCCCCCCCCCCCCCCCCTGATGAATTTAACTTTACATTCACAAAGTGCTAATTAGCACATGTTAGCATGCTATCACGTTAAACTGAGACACTTCATGTGGTAAACATCATATCTGCTAATGTTCACATGCTGTGGTCTCACAGAGCCACTGTGTCTGCAGGCAGTTACTCTGAATCTGAATGAATGGAAACCAGTGACTCAGTGTTAAAAACAAACCTTCAGTAGCAGAAAGACTGAAATGAAAAGCTGCTGTTTTACCTGTCTGAGCCTTGTTAAACCCTGGTCCTGTAAACAGAGGATAAATGTTTAAATAAAATATAATATGATATATTTATAAGATATAATAATAAGACTCTTATCATGACGTCAAAGTGAATACAGATGTTAACAGTGTTAACAGATGAATTCATTTTACCGTCAGCTTGTATAAACCCACAGAGACTCTTCATTAGCTTTAACTATCGTGACTGTGATAGAGAGATAGAGAGACTTCCTCTGTCACTGATCATGAGACTGACTGAGGAAACAACCCTTAATCAGTCACCCATCCCACTAATACACACATATAGACCTGTACCGGCTACAACACACACACCCACAGCTGCTTTCATGTATAGAGGAACATGACGAACCTCTGAGAAGATTTTTACCATGTCTTCTTAACATGTCTCATTAATATTACACACAGAGCATCCTCTCTGTGGTGACAGTTTCAACACTCAGAAACAGAAGTGCCCTCAACCTCATTTAAAGTAAAACCTTCATGAATCATAGTCACAGATCTGGATCTGGATCATGACTTAGTGAGCAGCATCCCACAGTTTCAGGTTCAGAGAATGTTCATGTTTCACAAAGTAAATAAACATAATTAAAACAGCAGCTGAAGAAACAGAAAGCTACAGAGACGTATCATCGGTTGTTTATCGCCTCATCTTTGAACTGTGGTTAGAAACCAGCAGAGACAAACACATTAAACACACAGTCATTGAAGACATGACAATATGTTGAAGTGCATCGTGGTCCTTACCTGTTCAGGTGTTAGCAGTTTGTCTCCCATGCCGCTGGCTTCACCTTGACTTGACATAATGATGCTGAGATCTGTCAACCTGACTGTGTGTGTGTGTGTGTGAGAGAGAGAGAGAGGGAAGCTGTGTATGTATGTGTGTGCGTTGTGTTTCACTCAAGTGTTGCATGGCAGGAAGTCATCACTTCCTGTAGAAGGTGGAACGTCAGTAACTGACTGAAGAGTTTTCTTCTACTGTTTTGAACACACACACACACACACACACACACACACACACACACACACACATATCTCCTCACTGGGTCGTGGTGGTGAAGGTTTCCATGTTATTTACAGTTGGCATTATCACCATGTATATCACTACATCCATAGTGATAATCTCACAGTACAGGATCAACTGCTGCTCAACTGTAGCATGACACAGTCCACATCAGTCCATCTTCTCTGTGTGAAGTCTCGGGAACATTATTTACTGATGTTTAATATATGGTATATGAAAACATCCTCAGCTCACTTTAATGTATTAAATGCCTTTTATTATACATGTTGCACTGTTGTTTTTTCAATAAAGTTTTGTGTCAGAGTTGATCATGTTTAATTAGTTAATTTAACCAGATTTATATGCAAATAAAATGCTCTGTATCAAAGTAAAAGAAGGTAATATAAATATGTATATGCTATAAACCAAAAGACAAAATTCTTCACTATATAAAGTATGAAAATAAATTAATCTCTATAAAAACATGAAATATGTTATGAAATATATATTTGCTAATGGTGAAACCTGGGGGTTTTTTGTTGTTGTTGTTTTTGTTGTTGTTAATATGCAGGCTAAGCTAACGTTAACTACTAAACCGGAACCTGTTGCCAGGGTGACAGTAAACAGTCGTGTTGCAGACCGAGGGAATGAAAGCAGGGTTCTGACATCCCATACTGATGAAGACTGATTGTAAATAAAACACATTTCATACCCATCCAACCTGTAAAGAGATACCTGGTGTCATTTCTTTACCATTGAGTTTATTGTAATCATTCAGTTATTTGCGTAATTGGTATTTTCTACATGTTGGCTATAATCAATTGGCAGTTATCTTCATTTGTCCTTCGTTTTAAACTATAACTCAAGTTCTGTGACTGGAATTAGCTTAGGTTAGGCCTGAGCAGACAGTTTAGCGGAGTGTGACGACACCCGGCGGTCACCCAAAGCGACCCCGCCCTCAATTAAACACAACTTTTAAATTTAAGCGGGTGAGTTGCATAAAGAATTCAAGCTTGTATTACTACTTCCAACAGGCTTCTGCTTGCATTACAATGTTGGACAACAGCCACTCTCTCCTCACAGATGTACAGATACCGAGCCTGTATCCGAAAAGTTGGTATATTTGGATTGGGCCAACTGGTGAAGCACAAGCTTCCGGTTCTTGTGCTGTCGCCATGGTAACCGTAAACCACCGTAAAGAGCGCATAGTTGTTTGACTAAGTATCTTTCCAGCTTTCACCACTTCGTTTTAAACTATAACATTAATTTGTTCAGACTCAGTTTTGACACAGAACAATGTCGGATGTCGGATCTGAAGAGTTTGACGACGAACACAGTAAACTCGGGGTGAGAGGATATAATTAGCAAGTTAGCTTAGATACTCTTTACGGTCTGTTGTTGTAACGTTAGCTGGCTGAAGCTAATGTTTGCACTAGCTAACCATTAACAGATAAACGTTCGTGTGTGTGTGTGTTTTTTTCTTTGACCGGCACAGGAATATGAAGGGGACAGAAATGAAGCGGGAGAGAGGCATGGAGTCGGTAAAGCCGTCCTGCCCAATGGAGACACTTATCAGGGACAGTATGAGAACAGCAAGAGACACGGACAGGTAAGATACAACAGGTGCCTTCTCCAGTTCGATTCGATTCGAGTCTAGTCTGGGTTCAAACGGGACTGAGTGAACACTGAGACACACAGAAAACCGAGTGAAGACAAGGAAACCTTCAAACACAGAAATACTAATCATGGAGCTTATTGAGTAAATAAACAGCAGGTTACTACCCCCAAGCCGTGTGAGGTACCTGTATGATTAAGAAACAGATGAGACTTATTGGCCTTCATAGGTGGTAAAGGGGAATTACTGTTTTGGACGTCAGTGTAGTCTGCATACATCCACTATTTTACTCTCAGATCCATTTTCCCAATATTCAGCCTAAGAAGAAATTAATATTCTTATTATTGCCATTGAGGTTATGAACATGTTACCTGGAAAATAATTGTTTCTTTAACTAATGTATAATTGTCTTTGACTGTCTAATAGGGGACATATCGGTTCAAGAATGGGGCAAGATATGTGGGAGACTATTACCAGAACATGAAACATGGACAAGGCACCTTCTACTATCCAGATGGCTCCAAATATGAAGGTATATCAAAGACACTTTGCATGAGTTGAGATGCATTTCATTAATGTGTGTGTACAGGGTGTTTATCAATGCTTCTCAAACGTTTTGACACAGAGCTTTAGAAACCAGGCTCTTATTGTTGCCTCCGTCAGGGTTGTGGGTCGAGGACCTAAGACACGGTCACGGTGTCTACACTTACCCCAATGGAGACACGTATGATGGAGAGTGGCTGCATCACATGAGGTCTGTCTACACTTTAAATATAACAAGTGCATGTCACTGAGATATTTATAGTTTTCATTTCCACTTCTGAGTCCAGATCAAGTCCTGTATTAACACCACTTTCTCCTGTGACTTCTCAGTTAAAATCCTGCTCAATATCCTTTATCTGTATCAACAGTACAGACAAATACATGACAACGTGATTCCTGTCTGGAAATAATAATGACATTTTTTTTAACAGTATTTAATGACTAATTTCAGTATAAATAAGGATCGAATTACATGTTGTAATAAAGTCACTAAAATGTTGTTGAATTAACAGTCACATATGGCCTAGTTATCTCAAAAACGTCAATCTTTTACCAGATTTAGTCCAGTTTGAACATAGATGTGTAGACATTTTTTTACATACACAATATAGGGCTGAGCAATTGATCGAAATCACAATATGGCCAAGTTCAATATCCAAATCGCAGGAGCTGCACTTATATGATAAAAGTAAAATGTGTCACAACAGACAATAATGAAGCGTTGAGGAGCTACAGAGGTCACAATATGAATTCATTGCATATCGTTCAGCCCTAGCACAATACTAATACAGTAATAACTACATACAGAAAATGTAACTTTTCAAACTACTGAAGTCGTTGGTGTTGTCTGATTGCCAGACACGGTCAGGGAATCTACCACTACCATGACACTGGCTCAAAGTACAAGGGCTCGTGGGTGAATGGCAACATGGAGTCAGCCGGAGAGTACATCCACTCCAACCACAGATACCAGGGTAACTTCACCAACAACAATGTAAGTTCTATTTTTATGAATTATTTCACAGTTATTAGAAATATTAAGAATATTTTTGTTGAACCGTGGACCCCATTTACTAAAAGCATGTTAAAGTTGCAATGATCAACACTGCTCTATAGATGACTGTCATGTGAAGGGACAGCCTGCATTTTGCTGTTTTAGTTCTGATCATTTCTGGTAAACTCACTGTGCACTACCTGCCCTACACCACCAGACACAGACAAAATTAGCAACTGCCTGGTAAACGTAGCGAAGCATTTAGCAGCTAAAGAGTGAGATATTATTCTCAGTCAGTGGAGACCAAACATTGAAGTGAATATCGGACTTATAATCATCAGGTGTCTCCAGACGACTGCTAATGTTGGTGCTGAATGTTAACTAACATGTAAGCTGTATCAACCTTACAAAGCCATAATAGTTCAAACATTTGTGATTTTTTGTGACAAAAAAGAACAAACAAAAAATAATACAGCTTTAAAGCAGAAGTAAATAATTATTTTGGCCAGTTGGAGGCAGCACAACACAACACTGACACATTATCACATTGTAAAGATCATGTGGCAAATGTTATAGCAACAGTTGTGTATTTAGAGCAACATAAACAGTCATTTAGTTTGTCACATTTTAGCTCTTTTGTGGTCTCAGCCAACTCCTGAGGGAAATATCTGGGTCTTAAATACTATGTTCACCAACCTTTTTGACGGTAACCTGTCACTTTTGTAACTTTGACCGTGGTAATGTTTCATTATCAAACAGGCGTCTTGTTCAGTCTATGTTAGAGCTGTCTCTGCCACCCTGTTTTTATGTTGCAGCCCTACGGCCCGGGGAAGTATGTGTTTGACATCGGGTGTGAGCAACATGGTGAATACCAGCAAAATGAGCAGGTGAATCAACATCAACACACTCCCATTGTTTCAGTTCAGTGTGTCAGCTGATTTCATTGCCCCATTACATTCTTAATTACTTCTACTACACTGTAAACACTGAACCAGGAACTGTAGACACAACCCACTAAGACACAACATAACCATGGCAACTCTCTTGACCAAACCTCCAGCCAGCGGACACTGAGGAGAACGGTAAAAACATAAAAGCACAGAAGTCGTCCTACCCGGGCTCCAACGAGGGCTACCTCACCTTAGGGGCCTCAGGAGGAGCAGAGGAGGTGCTGCCTCTGTAAACCACTGCTGATGCTGTTGTCAGTAGCATAGATCACTCAGTGTCTTGCATGATGACTTTGCAGTATTTTCAAATATGAGGATGTCTTTTCAAGCATAAGAAGGAATAACTGTTGTTGGTACTGGACATATGAATGTTTTTCAGGATGCACTCATGCCAGTTCTAAGAGCATGTTTAACTTTAAATGCATGATTTGATGAGTCATCTTGGGTGAAACTTCAGGATGCATGTAAATAACTTAATAGTGTGTTTGAGATGCAAGCTGCATGGTGTTTCATCTTTGACTCTGGAGTTTGCAGATGTTTTCATGCTTGTCTTTGTTCAGCTGAAGTCAATGTAGCTGCTCTGAAGACTGCACAAACATAACGTGCTGCAAACTGCAAGACCTGTGATGTTCTGAGGGTGAAAATATTAAGAGAGAAATGTTTGTGCATTCCAGTTGTATTACAAACGAAAATGTGTCACAGTGATATATTATGGAGCAATTCCTCTCGGTACATAAAAAGACAGAAAAAAAACAATTTTTCTATTTCAACTCTTGACAGGACCAAGCTGATGGTGAATGGGGTGCGTTGGCCTCCACCACAGTCCTCAAGTGGATTCCCAAGTGCATCACTGGCCTGACGCCGTGGACTCCAGCCAAAGAGGCTTCAGGTGAACTTTATCTACAAGGCAAGGCTGTGGCCATGGGTTTAGAAATACTGAGTCCAAATTTACCAGCAGAATCCCACTGACTCAAGACACGTCGTACACACATCATATACTTCAAATGCTTCAAACGACAAGTGATCAAAGTAAGTGTGTGTGTGTGTGTGTCTGTATCTTTTTTCCCAGCTGGTGAAAAGGAAACAGCTTCAGCAGAAGAGGGTGGACAGAAGTGACCTGTGAGATCAATCCACCACCCTGCATGTTTCAGCCTTTGTTTGAAAATGAAAATAACATACATAAGTAAATATGTAACACAAACCTGTGTCAAATTGTAACAAATGGAAACTGTTCATTCCCTGTTGAAATTATCCTGGATTTAAACACTGCTTTTCATAGAGTGCAGCATAAAGCAGACGCTGCCCCCCTGTGGCTCTGTGTAGAATAACATTATTGTTCTTCAGTGACATTTAAAGCTAGAGTGAGTGTTTGTAATCCAATAGATTTTAGTCAGATTCAGTAAATATCTCCTCATGGTCCGCTCACTATTCGTTCTGTTTGCTGGAAAAAAATCTGGTTAAAAGTTCTTCTTATTTACTTGTAATATCTGTTGTTATTGTAAAGCACATTATAACTTTGTTTTTGAAAGGTGCTATATAAATAAAGTTATTACTATTATTAGCCACTCTACCTCTGGCTGTGGCTCAGGAGGTAGAGTGAGTCATCCACTAATCAGAAGGTCGGTGGTTTGATCCCTGGCTCCTCCAGTCCACATGTCCACAAAAGACTGAACTCCAAATTGCCCCAAATATGAGGGAGTGTGAGTGTCTAGTCGTTAAAACTATAAAAGAGCTTCATAAGTGTAGTCCATTTACCATCATTAAGAATGGTGGACTGTGTACTAGTCAGTACTCATGTAATGATGTCTTCTTCTTTCAGTGGGAGAGCTGCGATGTCATAAAAATGAAACAATTTTTCATGGTGGAGTCTCATCTTGTCATACAACCCTGTATCAAATGATAAATAAATTAACCTTGTAACCTTTCTTTCACTTATTTAGTAAATATTGTGCGTTATTCATTCTCTATCGAGTTCATAGCTTGTAGCTATAATCCTAACCCACGTGCATTGAAATAAATTACTAAATTCTATACACTTTATATACTATAGACATTTTTATTATTATGTCAATGTACATGGCAATATTGTAGACCTTAATTGTATGTATGGGAGTTAATGAAATCAAAATATGCTAGTAAGACTGTACAGATCCCATATTAATAAACAACACGTATGTATATATTTTTAATATCAGTAAATATTTGACATACAACATGAAACATCTGTTCTCTCATCTCAACTTTCCCACTTGAGGTATTTTTGACATTCATTTCTGGACGTGCAGGTAAAATCCTCCCACTGTCAGGACACAGGTGAAAGCCGTGGTTCACACAATGAAGGAGCGTACCGGGCGGAAAAAAGACGCTCGTTGGAATAAGTTGGCCGCCATGTTGTTTCACAATATCCACTACTTCTCAATATCCATGGTATTTATTATGAGTATTTTTCTAACAGCATTATTTTGAAGGATAAAGCCGGAACTCGTGGGTTTTTTTTTTACCATACGTCACTTGTCGAGCGCAGCGCCGTCTGCTTTGGATTCTGTGCAGTCATTCTGGCGGACGACAGAGAAAACTGAACCCGAGCAGGCTGGCAGGATGTCAGCATGTGTGGAGGCTGAGAGGACACCGGTCAGTGGTTAGTGTTTCCTGTTCAGGAGCGTCCCGCGGTACACACGGGAAACAGACAGCAGTTGTTCCGAAGACAACACCGAGAATGGACGACTGTGCTCAGCAAAGGCCACTGTTTACCTTCGGCGTCATAGCTGACATCCAGTACGCAGACATCGACGACGGGTTCAATTACACCCGGACGAGGAGGCGGTACTACCGGAGCAGCCTCCAGCTGCTGAGAAATGCCCAGGAAAGTTGGTCAGAGTCGGCTGTCAAACCGGAGTTCATCCTCCAGCTGGGAGACATCATCGACGGCTTCAACAAGGGCCACGACGCCTCTGATCGAGCGCTGGACACCGTGCTCAGGCAGTTCGGCTCCAGCCCCGTGGAGGTCCACCATGTGTGGGGCAACCACGAGTTTTATAACTTCAGCAGGAGCTCGCTGCTGAGCTCCAAGCTCAACAGTTCACTGCTCGGTGACCGGAGCCGGAGCGGAGCCCGGGCCGGGTCCGATATCTACGCCTACCACTTCAGCCCGTTCCCCGGCTTTACGTTTGTAGTGCTGGACGCCTATGATGTGAGCCTGCTGGGCAGAGAGGAGTCCAGTGAAGAGTACCGGAGCGCTTTGAGTTTAATCAAACAACACAACAACAACGAGGACCTCAACTGTCCTCCAGGTATACTGGCCTCATAATTACTCCCAGCTGCATTTTAAAGTATATTAACATTATATTGATAATTTGAATTAGTAAGATACTTCACTGCGCATTTTATATTTTATTTTTCTAATATATTCCAATAACAAGCTGAAGGCTTCTGATTCAGAAGATAAAATTTATTTTTATAGATGTATATTTATTTGATTTCAAATACATTTATTTATTTATTTATTACTTTTTTGTCATTTTTAGACATTTATTTTATTAACAGATGCTCACATTACAGTGCAATTCCAGTACACAAAATATAAATCACTTCTAAACCACATACATGTGTATTAGCTCACAAATGCACCAGGCATCAGCTTGATTGAAGAAAGACAGAAAAAGAAAGAATGAATGAATGAAAATAAATTAATAAAAAAAAAAAATATATATATATAATAGTACTGCATAAATAAAGTCTATTTCCTTTTGACTTTATTTAACTGTTGATGATTTTTTTTCAAATGAAATGTTGAATGTGATAAAATGCCCTTTTGCTTTATTAGATAAAATCAAGGTTTTTACTATTTCAGCCTCACTTGGTCTGATGTGACCAGAGGTCGAGTTCAGTATACCCAGAATATATTTGTTATAGCGACAGAAAAGTGATATTCAACGAGGGGAAATATAAACACACTAGAATAGAAATGAAATCCCAAATCCAGCTTCGCAGTACAGTTTATCCCAGCCGGCTAGTGTTAGGTTCAGTCAAGCCAGATAACAAAAAAATATTCTTTTCATAGCACAGGCCTCTGGTTTAAACCAATTTCAATTTTGTGAAACTGGGGCTTTGCCAGGGCTTGATTAAAGATCACTGTACTTAGACTTGTCAAACATAGATTAGATTAACATAGACCCCAGAGACAGCTCAAATTCCAGTTAAAGATATGTGAGACCTTTATTCTAAGAAATGGAAAAATACATGTTTTCCTTAAAACTCTTAACAGAAGCCAGCTGCAGCTTCAGCAGTCATCTCTTAGACACCAGGGTGAGGAGCAGAGAATGAGTAAGTAGATGATGGATTTCATTCTTTGTGTTGTTGTTTCAGTGCTTGAGGGCCTTCAGCAGAGGTTCACGATGTTCAACGGAGGGTTCAGTAAGGACCAGCTGGACTGGCTGGATTCTGTGCTGTCGTCAGCTGATGAGAAACAGCAAAGAGTCACTATTGTCAGTAAGTGAAAATCTGCCACTGTCAGATTATTAGTTTTTCCCGGCATCTCTCAAGTTGAGTCAGTAAATAGTCAGGCTGTGATACAAAGTCTATTATACAGGGTTACAGTTCGATATATTGTCATTTTTTTAAATCTAATTTTAGGAAAGTATCAAAGCCTCAGTCCACAGAGAAATGCACACAGCCTGTATTCAGAAACTGAGCCTTAAAACCAGCCGCCAGGACTTCTGGAACTTTGTGATGTCACAACAAAGCAGCCACCAAGCCCCGCCCACCTGGACCCACCATCCAAACCTTTAAAGGATTTGGTTTCTCTGAGTGTTTTTACCTGAAATCTGCCATATTTTTATTGGATCACTCAGAAAACAGTCAGCCAATCAGAAGAGAGGCTCAGAGCCTCCTCTCTTCTGATTGGCTCACAGACCTGTTGTTACTAGAGCTCCAGAGAGAAGCCTGAGAGAGGAGATGTAAAACTACACTGAGATGGTTTTTGGTTCTTAAAACCACAAATATATCTTCTTATGGATCAACACTTGAAATAAAACACAGGAGAAGAAGAAGAAAATATACATTTAATGTACAGATATATCACCAGATTAGAGGCAGTGTGGTCTGATAACCACTGATAATCTTTTCCTTTCCCTCAGGTCACCTCCCTGTCCACCCCTGCTCCACCACACCCATCTGCCTCGCCTGGAACTACGACGAGCTCCTGGCCATCATAAGCTCCCACAGCAGCGTGGTGTGTGTCATGGCTGGACATGACCACGACGGCGGATACTACTGGGACAAAGACACAGGGGTGCACCACCTGACGTTAGAGGGGGTGATCGAGACTCCGCCTGACGACAACGCCTTCGGCACAGTGTCTGTGTACGAGGACAGAATGGTGCTGAAAGGGAGCGGGAGGATCTCGAATCGAGAGTTCCTGTTTTCACAATGCCACAGTGACACAGATGATAGGGCAGGGTAACATGCATCTGTCTCCCATAGCACAGCACAGGTCTCTCCATGTTTTCATCAGCTGATTCAATGAGTAGGATGTATTTTAGTTATTATTATGAAATCACTTTGGTATGACGGAGGATAAAAAAGAAATCTGAAATTCCGAGAATAAAGTCATAATATTACGAGAAAAATCTTACGAGGATTAAAATGTAAATATTCAAGAGAAAAAAACATAATTTTTAGGAATATTACATCAACCAATCAAACGGGTAAAAGGACAGTCTTCGGATATTTCCCTCTAAAACAACAACTTACCTAAAATTACCACTTTATTCTTGTAATATTATGACTTGTTTTCTTGAAATATTATGATTTTATACTGAAAATTACGACTTTATTCTCGAAAGTGTCAGTTTTTTTGTCCTAAGTGTGGCTCCGTCGTACTTTAGTAACAGAAGTCCTATAACTTTACATTGTTTCAGTTACATTTAAAGGACTGACAGGTACACAGATACACATGCACTATGCTGTGTTTGTAGATGCAACCTGTCACCTCCTCTTACCTCAGCAGAACAAATGCAGTACCTCAAATCATTTACTGTACCTGAGTTCAGATTTTTAATTTTTTTTAAAAAACCTATCTGATACACTGGTTGTTTTAATCTGGAGGTTTATTGATAAAAGTTGCATATTTATTTATATATTTTAAGGAGGAATTGCTGCCTTTTTGATTTTCTTATACTGATTTGCTGAGTGACATACTGGAGAAATTTGAAAAGTGCAGTGTATTGATAAGTATAATTGATTTATTGCCCAGTTTTGAGGTGATAAGAGCAAATCTGTATTATTTACAATGTAAATCAATACAATGAATAATAAAAATCTTTACACCAGCAGCAGTTGCACCTCCCTGCCTGGCTAAATGTCACATTCATCTCTCTGCCATCACGTGCTGCGTTCATGTTACACAAGAAAGTGGTAGATTCAAGTTTTCTACCTGTAATAAAGCAAAGAAAAGTTAACTTTTAAACATGTCTCTTAACACTGTGATAGTGCAGGTAATGACAATGAAGTAATGAATCATTTGTCATTAAAACAGTTTTGAGTGCAAAAAAATACCATAAATAGACTGAAGAGACACAACAAAAAATACTAGATACAGAATACTTGTAACTCAAAGTCAATTTGCTATTCTTCATTGTATTCTTCCTCCTCAGTGGGTGGAGTTACCTGAGTATGAACATGTGGCAACAGGTAGTTGTATATGGCATATGTGTTGTATTTGTTTCAGTCATTAGGTTCTGTAAATGTGGAACAATATAACGTGTTGACTTAAAAAAATTTACCTTTTAATTCTTCAGTATTTCTAAAAATCAAGTACTCCGGTACTTTAACTCAAGTAAAAATCAGACTGAACAACTATGACTCAAGTAATGAAGTTGTGTATTTTGTCTATCTCTGCATTTAAGAGCTACGAATGCCACTGTAAAATGTAAATAAAATAACACTAACAATATAGATTAAATATAGATTATGTTCACTATTTTGTTGAATCATATAGTGTAAGTATAAAGAAGAAATATAAATGAGTACACAATATATGATGAGATAAAGAGGGAGGTGTAATATGTAGAGTTATACAGCCCCTGAAGGCAGCGCCAGTATAAATTAAGTATCGATTGTGTTCAATATTTTTTTGAATCACATATAAGGAGGAAAAATGGTTGAGTATACAATATATGATGAGATAAGGAGGGAGGTGTAATACATGTAAAGTGACATTCTGTATTTCCGACGGCCCCTGAAGGCTGCACCGGCACAGACGTGGCCGTGGTGCAGCTGCTGCGTTCAAGTGGCGCAGTGTCCCGTCTGGAGGCAGAGAGGGCGAAGTTTCACTCTCTGCATTGCAGCCTGAGCGCTGCTGCCGGAATCCAACACAACAATGGCGACTCCCAGTCCTGACAGTAACTCCACAAGCTCCAGCAACAGCAGCAGCAGCATCGTGGGATCCACGTCGCACCAGTTCCACCAGCAGACACAGAGCAGCAGCATGCAAGGTTGGCGGCAACGGCCTGTAGACCGTATTTTTCCATTTCAACTGGAGACACTGGAGTTAGTAGGAAAAGGTAGCTTGTAGCTTTCCAGAAGGAGCAGTACTATAGTTAAGACAGAAACGATACACTAATCTTTTCCGGTCAGAACTTTCAAAGTAAAATCCGTATTGTAGCCCATAAACATAAAATGTACTATTTTGCTGTTTATGATTATAAATGTGAATAAGTTAAGGCACATTTTAAATCTTCTGTTTATGTACATGTTAAACGCAGATTTTGGACTGGTATTGCAAAGTGATGCTTTGAGGTTAATAGGTAGTTTAGAAAGTGCAGAGAAACTCAGTCATATATGTTAGATCGTTCCTAATTTTCTCTTTGATCAAATGGTACTGCGTGTCACCGTTGACATAATGTATAAAATACACGGAAAAACTGAATTACTCACAAACGTAATTATTATTGTTTAATGTTAATGCAAATTTGTTATTCAGTCAGCCGTCTGACAAACTGCGCTTTTATTTTGACGGCTGAATCGCGTAGTTTCCGCTACCACTCTAACGGTCTTTGGTTAGCTTAATGTAGCTCCCTGAAACTACACGGCTACAGGCTGTGATACCAGGCTAGCAGTGATGCCGTAGCCCCTGATAAGCTACTGAGTCGACAGGCCTGTAGCGGCACAGTAAAGTCTTCTCATTATTTGAGTCCGCTGCGATCCGCATCAGACACAAAACCTGAACCACGAAGGCCTGACACTGTGGGGATGAATTCAATGAAAGTCTGCCTACCGATGTTATCACACCGGGCTGCTACAAGTATCACCAAGGCCTACGCTAAGGTGTTTCTCTCTGCTAAGCCAGGCCACTGTTTTAAAGCACCGCGAATAATACAGCCTCAAATAATACAGTCTAAGTTAGATACAGTCATTAAAGTCAACATTAATGTCTAAGAGTTGTTGTATTGGCTGTAGACGTCTGACAACATCACGGAGGTGCTAATCGTTGTACTGTGTTGCTAACGTTACTTCTGACGAGATTTCCTAATAAAATAGCGTCAGACAAACCCTCCAGTGTTTAACACTACTGTCCTGCACTAAAACAACATGTCTGTCGTTTGTTAACGTGATTTATATATGTGAATTTACAGCTAAGCTAGCTACCTAGCAAGCTAGCTTAACTTTGAATCCATTATCGGACGAGTAGCCAGATTCAATTTGCAACATAAACGTTTGTATTGTTGTTAGTGTGATTTGTTGTCTAAATTTTACTGTGAGGCACGGTCGTGTCCGATAATGGATGTGTTGATGGTAGCTGCTGGATAATCAATTCCATTGATTGATTGATTTACTGATAGCATACGTAACTTAATTAAAAGCAGTACAGTCGTGTATCCAGTGGTCAACAGATCTCAGTTGCTTTATTGTTTCCCTGTGGCAGATGTCTAGTATCAAATGTTTTATCTAAACCTTACAGAAACCAACACCTGCTGGAGATGTCAGAATGAAACAGGTATTCACACTTATTTTACTAGGTTCAATCTGCTGTTGGAGGATATCTGTTTACATTGTGTTTGTTTAGGTTAAAGACATTCCTTCAAATGTTCCCTGTACACCACCTTTTTTTTTTTTTTTTTAAATTTCATTTATTTTTATTTTCCTTTTTTGTTGTTGTTTTCCTTCATTTTTCTTCTTTGTAAAACCTGCATTTTTATCCACTTATCTGCACGTTTTTAATCTAGCCTTCATATTACAAAGACCTGATGTAGACACAGTAGACAGACCCCATTTAAAGAGACACTGCACCAAGCAAACCACCGTCTGGTAGCAACAGAAAATCCAATCTGGCTGTTTTAGTGTGACAGCTTGTCACTTGTGTGCTATTGATAGAGACCTTCTGAGGGAGTGCCACTCTTGTTTTACTGCCATATGTACGGTATTAGTGGTCTGCCGCTGCTGTTCGCTTTATAATATATAAAAATGGGATGCTACTCACGTTCCACTGGTCTATGATGATTCTAACTGGCATATTCCTCTGCTGTGGTAATGGTATTCCTTGTTTACAGCTATGCTGTTCTCGTGGACGTAATGCTTCTCAATTGATTCGTCAAGTAGACTCGGGCGATATCCAAAAATCTCAATCCAGTCCAGCCCTAATATTGTGATATACGATATTATTGCAATATCAAGTGCTATGCGCACTACAGTAGTTGTACGGGGCTAGTTAGATTAGCTACTAGAGGAGTTACCCAGTTTATCCCCAGCCCCATGATACCTTGCATCAACATAGGTGCCACTTCCAGTAATGACTTCTGTGAGAGTCAGAGGTTTGTTATAGGTTTTCAACATTTTCTTAGAGATCTTAAATGATATGGGAACACAACTTACTACACCTGTGCTCTCTGCTACCAAGGTATAGGAGGATAAGAATATTGAATATTGTGATATATATCCCACTATATGTGATATTTTTCATAATATTGAAAAAGAAAATGTAATTTTATAGTTTTGCACAGTCTGACCCTCATTTCACTGCTTTGCTTACTGCACATTGAACCTTGCACCATTGTACCTGGCAGCACTTGAATCACTTATACCTGAAATATAAACTACAATAATTATATATATTATAAAAAATACAATATGTATTATTACATATAGAGGAACTGAAAATATAATTATAGAATACTATAATTATGATCATATCACAATATTCGAGTTGGACCATATCGCTCAAGCCTACGTACAGTTCTGTTAATAAGAGTCATGTGCCCGTGGAACAGCAACATCATACCAATAGTCAACAATGACAGACCACTCACAACTGACACGCACCTTTTATTGAATAAACCTGTTCCTCATTCTGCTGGGATACAGAAGAACCACATCATCACACATACAGCTGCATGGCAGTGCACTGACCCACACCCACCGACGGCACGGCGCCTCTCTCACAGTAACTGCCCCGTGTTCCACTTCCAGCACTGACTCTCGATGGGACGGCACTTTGCTAATAACGACCCACTCGCACATAAACGAGTCCTAAGAAACTGTAGTAAAATGTGTTTTCTTTACTTCAGGGTTTCAGATAAGCCTGTCTGGAGTTTCCCAAAGTAAGCAATAGACTCGCACTGAATTCACACCGACCTCTACTGTCTGTGGGAACACCTCAGTAGTCTACAGTGGTTTCCCTCCTGAGCTGTGTTTAGTGTTCATCACGCTCATATTTAATTGGGATTAAAACTGGTGAAGCGAAACCGCTGTATGCTATTGAAACAGCCTGTGTGGTGCTCTGGTAGTTGGGGAGTCTGTCCACTGTTCACTGCTATGACCTGTCACAACCTCAGTTATGGCCAAAGGAAGATTCATTTGCACCGGGGCTTAAAGGTCGAGGCGTCCGTTTGCACTCAGGAGCTGGTTGAAGAGGGCATGGCAAAGAGAACTCAACACTTAAACACGGCACTTTGCGTAGAAGCCAAACCTAACCACCAGTTATATTCTGAAGATATGTCAAATTAATTTGAATTTGAACTTGAATCCGCTTTAAACCTGAACCGTGTGCTGTCTAAGTGTTGGGTCACTTTGATTTCTGAAGGGAAAGTTCACATTGAAAATGTTTTGGACTGGGATTCCCAATATCAGCAGCATGCAGTAAAGCTCGTCCTGGCTCTGTTGCAGCAGCAGCAATAATTTGAATAATATGTTATATATACAGTATATATGTTATTTGGACCAAAAGGTTTATTTTGGAGCTAAAGGAACTGGTGCAGTGTCTGAGTATTGGGAACCTCTGTACATGTGGGCACTTTGCTTGTGTTCAAAATGCATTGTGTGCTTCCTCTGATCTTGAAGAGCTTGAGATAAACCACAGGTCTGAAAACAGCTCACAACAGAAATCCTTAAATCATGTTGACGCCACAACAGTTAGAGCAGCCTCTATTGACCTGTCGGTGTGATTTAACCGTGCAGCACCATAATGTGCAGCTGGTTCCTCGGGCCATATGTAAGTTGGCATAAATTCCTTACTTACGGAAGCTGAGAAAGGCCATACTGGCTAATCATTTTTCATCCTGTAATCTCAAAATAACAAAGCTCATTATCTTGAAATACAAGATATTATCAGGAGAAAAGTTATTTATTTTGTTATAACGAGATAACGAGACATTATCAGAATGACAAAAATAGTTTTCTCCTGATAATATCTCGTTATCTCGGGATAACGAGCGTTTGTTATCTTGAGATGACGGGATTAAAAAAATTATCTGCGTACTTAATAACACTCGTTGCACATGTGCAGTAAAGGCTTATCTCAAGTGTGTGCAGTCAGATGTTCCAGAGAAGAGCCGAGCTTGTTATCACACTGTGTGCACCCTCTGCTTGCACCAGCTGGTTGAACCACAGTGTGGCGAGCATGTTGTGGGGATCTGGATCTGTGTCTGTCTTTGTCCCACTCCAGGTAAACGTAAAGCTCTGAAGCTGAATTTCGCCAACCCTCCAGTGAAGCCGACCTCCAGGCTCCCGATCAATCCGACGCCTCCCTCCTTCCAAAACCCTCACATGTGAGTGCGGATGTTCGGGACAGGTTGTCATGGCGACTTGTGTCAGGTTTTGTTTCAGCAGGTCACAGGATGTTGATTCTTTATTAGACTTCACTCCTACACATGTTTTAACAAAAGCTCAGATTTCAAAACCATTTCATGGAAGCTCTAAATGTTTCAGGTTCACAGCAGCTCAGAGTTTACTGATGAAATATTAATCATATCCACAATAATCTATAATGCATGTTCTGTTCATGGCTCCACTCTGTCCTCTCCCCTTCCTGTGGCCTCTTCCTCCTCTTCCTCTTCCTCTTCCTCCTCTTCCTCCTCCTCCTCCTACTTCCTCCTCCTCCTCCTCCTCCTCCTCCTCCTCCTCCTCCAGAGAGCGTCTGCGGACACACAGCATGGAGTCGTCGGGGAAGCTGAAGATCTCCCCGGAGCAGCACTGCGACTTCACGGCGGAGGACCTGAGGGACCTCGGGGAGATCGGGCGCGGAGCGTACGGCTCCGTCAACAAGATGGTCCACAAGCCCACGGGCCAGATCATGGCTGTCAAGGTGAGTCGCTGAGAGATGCACCTGACCTGAAGTGACCTCATCCAGAGCAACAACTACTTAGTTCAAAAGTCAGAATCACAAGAGCTCAGAGTCACACGGAGAAGCAGAGTCATGGTTCATTCATCCAAATCGTCTGTTCATGAGAAGCAGCTGCAAAGCTGGAAATATCTAAACAATGTCTGTGAATCAAACCTTTGCGCACCACCAGGAGTCCAGCAGCGCCCCCTGGGGGCCAGCGGGTAAATTTGATGAGTGACCACACTTCCTGCTAGTGAGGAGTGTCTGCGTGTTGTTTCCAATATTCAATAGAATCATGTAAATTCAAACATTATAATTTGAACTGGTTGTTTTGCAGTGTTGTAGGATTCACTGTAACTGTCTCACACAGCTTCGCCAGTTTACAGTGTGTGTGTGTGTGTGTGTGTGTGGACAGTGAATCAGTCAGAGATGTGAATGTTGTTGTTGTGTGTGGTGTTTCCCTCAGAGGATTCGCTCCACTGTGGACGAGAAGGAGCAGAAGCAGCTGCTGATGGACCTGGACGTGGTGATGAGGAGCAGCGACTGTCCCTACATCGTTCAGTTCTACGGCGCCCTCTTCAGAGAGGTGTGACAAACACGCACGGTCCTCAAACGCACCACACCACTACCACCTAAAGTCACGTTCACATCAGGCTTTGGCCAATATTTGATGATATTGTAAATCTTGGTATTTGGGCTGGACTGTCTGTTTTGGATATCACACAAGCCTCGTCAATAGCAATAAAATCTAACGCCACAGCGACCTCTAGCGTACAGCAGGAGCTACTACAAACTAACCTGTGACTCTGTTTCAGGGCGACTGTTGGATCTGTATGGAACTAATGTCTACCTCATTAGACAAATTCTACAAATATGTATATTGTGCATTAGATGACGTCATTCCAGAGGAAATATTAGGCAAAATAACATTAGCGGTGAGAAGATGATTCACTTTCTCTTCATAGATTTTTACATTTCTATATTTCTATATGATTTAAAAGAGTGACCAGGGTGTTTTTATTTTGTCCTCTACAGACGGTTAAAGCACTGAACCACTTAAAAGAAAACTTGAAAATAATTCACAGAGGTAAGTTTGTGAATTTGATCAATATTTACATCTAATATTGATCTCATGATGATCTGAAATGCGACTTAAAAAGCCTGAAAAAGTTAAAACGACATGAAATGTTTGTTTTTTTTATTATTATAATAATAATAATAATATCAAGACGGATTGTGTGTGTTTTCTGACGATGTGTTTTCTGTGTTTTCAGACATCAAACCTTCCAACATTCTTATGGACCGAAAGGGAAACATCAAGCTGTGTGACTTCGGCATCAGCGGTCAGCTGGTGGACTCCATAGCCAAGACCAGAGATGCAGGCTGCAGGCCGTACATGGCAGTGAGTGAGCGGCGGTGAACACTTGCAGGAGACGCTGGTGGAGGCCACGCCCACTCAGCTCAGTTTGATTTTAATCTTTCATTTATCAGGAACGCTCGTCGCAAATTACAACACCTGGGACAAAGATACATTCAAGTTTCAAATCAAGTCAAGTCTATTTCTGGAGCACATGTAAACACTCAGTGTTCAGTGACATGAATATGAAAGAGTAAAACAAATAAGTGAAAACACAGTAAATATACTGTAGTGAGAAAAACAAGGAGCAAATCCACAATTAGGAACATGACAACGCACTAAAAGGTGAGTGGATTTAAAATGCCACCTGTGATCAGATCTCACTTCCTGCTTCATATGCAAATAAGAGAGAGAGAGAGAGAGAGAGAGAGAGATTAATATCAGGTCTGATCAGGGTCTTAGATTATACTGGTGCTGGACCAGCAGCCCCTGTGTTGAGGGGTCTGGTGGATCAGAGCTTGGTTTGTTCTTGGGGTTGCACAGATGATATATTGTTTGTTTTTGATGTGTGACATCTGTCCTGGGGGGGGGGCAGTGAAGTGTCTCAGAGACTCAGAGTCTGTGCTTGTGTGTTGTCAGCCGGAGAGGATAGACCCCAGCGCTTCCAGACAGGGCTACGACGTCCGGTCCGACGTGTGGAGTCTGGGAATCACCCTGGTAAGACCCGTGATGTCATCAGGATGATGTCATCACGTCGCCTGTGTCGTGTCTGAGTGAGTTTGAATCAGTCGACCTGTTGAAATAAAAATTTGTGTGTGTGTGTGTGTGTTTCAGTACGAGCTCGCCACAGGAAGATTCCCGTACCCTAAGTGGAATAGTGTTTTTGATCAGCTGACTCAGGTGGTGAAAGGAGAACCTCCTCAGCTCAGCAACTCAGAGGAGAGACAGTTCTCCCCCAAGTTCATCAACTTCGTCAACCTATGGTAACACACACACACACACACACACACACACACACGCAGGCCTCTGAAATACACAACACAACCTCCTCCATCACTGGAAACAATTTAATGTTTTTGAAATTAAGATCTTAACTCGAGGTGTCTGAGGATCCTCTTACTAGAGTTTTCCAGCTCTCAGCCACAACTCACGGTCTTCATTAGTGGATTGAGTCTCAGTTGTTTCAGGCGTGAAACAAAGTCATGTGTACGAAGTGAAACACTTAGTCACTGTTCATTCAGTAGTGTTACTGACTGCTTGTTTGTCTCTGTGTGCAGCCTTACAAAGGATGAATCAAAAAGGCCAAAGTACAAGGAGCTTCTGGTGAGTTCTTGGACTCTTCTTTAGTTTTAAGCTTCATGGCTGACGGGGAAGGTGAAGGCAGAGAGAGAGACCGACCGAGCCAGTGAAGAAGAAAAAGCTCTGCAGGGCGTTCAGAAAGTTTTCACACCGCTTCGTTTATTTCACATTTTGTATTGTATTTTTTCTGGGAAGGCAAAAAAATCAGGGGTTGTTGTTTTTTTCACAAATGAAAAAAGAAAAACTTACATGAGAGGGGTCTGAATACTTTCTGAACGCTCTGAACCTTATTCTCCTGCTGAGCAGTTTAACACATTTGAGAATTTATATCCAACATCCAGTTCACCCAAGTCTTCTGTGTCTGTCCCTCAGAAACACCCCTTTATTCTGATGTATGAGGAGCGATTCGTGGACGTCGCCAGCTACGTGTGTCGCATCCTGGATCAGATCCCTGCCTCTCCCATCTCTCCTATGTATGTGGACTGACTGAGTTAGGGCTAGGTGAGAGGGGGGGGGGGTCACCCATCACACAGTGGGTGGGACACTAAAGCTTTGTGATGCGACGCTTGACATCTTAGCCCTCAGAGTTACGTAGGATCATCTGTTTATTCACTTGTTCCAAAGAACAAAGGAACCGAGTCCAAACTGCCCGGTGCAATAAGACGAATATTGTTAATCAAACTCCTCCATCACCTCGTTCATATTATCATCCATATTCAGACAGAAAAACTTGAAGACATGACGTTGTCTTAGTAAAAAAGGAATAGAATCTACATATATGGTATAAATATATTTACTTGAACTCAAACACAGAATCTACCAAATAAAAAAGACGTGACGCTCCTGACGTTAGAACAAAAACAGCCGCCTGTTGGATTGTACATCGTGGACTGTATGTTTGCATATGTGTGTTCACCTCTGACTTGTTGACATGTACAGATGTATGCTGACAGACACACACACACACACACACACACACACACACACACACACACACACACACACACACACACACCTTCACTCGTGGTAAATGAGTATGCAAAAGTGTTTCCTCTGAGAGCTCATGGACGTGGTGGTGTGGCTTTACTTTTTATTTTTCTATATGCAATCTGTGAGAGTTCATCGTGACACGTGATCGGGACGAGACATTTCTCACATCCACTGTGAGCCCCAGGTTGTACCTCGTATGTTATCGTTACATCAGAGTCGAGGACTGAGCAGCTGATTTAATGAAAGATGATTCAAAAACCAAGAAAAGTCGTTCAACAACATTCGTCAGTTTTAAAAGTCTTTGCAAAGTCCTTAACGTGATAGTTCAGGTTATCAGACGTGGGTTCAAGTTAGAAAAAAACAAACAAATGTCAGTTGAAGTGTACACTTTATTTTGAAAATTTTCACCACTTAATCTGCTGTCAAATGGTCCTTTATTTTGGAACTATATTTTCTCAACTGTTGAACTTCCATAATCCTACGCACAAGCGGTTAGCTCTGTCTGACTCAAGCAGCTGTAGAGTGAGGAAGGAACACAGTTCATCAGTTCATAAACTGCAGTTCCAAAGTAAAGCTCCATTTGACGTCAGAACGGTGAAGATTTTCAAAATAAAGCGACCACTTTAACTGATATTACTTTTATTTGGTGGGTATTTTTTTTAAGTGGCTAAAACAGGTTTTTCTGCTACAACAAAGTGGCTGTCTTCATTTTACATTTTCTTTTTTATAGTTAATGTGACTGCGTGACAGTTGAACTGATGAGCTGAGGAACATTTCTACACAGAAACGTGAGCACTCGGTGTGGAAATGAAAACGCACACGTTTCGTTTTATACATGACTGAATTAACATTGAACAGCTACAACTGATAAATTACAAAGTGTTTGTTATTTTCACTGTGGAAAGTCGGTGCTGAAGCTAAAGATGAAGCTACATTCCTCTGTGTTTTCTTCAGTTCTCTTTGCCGGTAAAAATAACAAAAGGTTTGATGTGAGATTCGTTTGCATCCGAGCTTCACAAATCTTTGCTAACGTGGAACTGGATCAATTAGCTGTTACTCGAACGCTATGTAAAAATATAAAATTATATGAACATAAATAACAACGTAAATACACCAAATAATTGTGATATGTTTGTGTTGTACAAATTGAACAAGGATGTGACCACAGCTATCGTTAGCATGTCGGAGTGGAGATAGAAATGGACTTGAAACTTGATTCTGTGGTTAAACGTCTTTTTATAAATTGACACACAGAATATTTTTAAATTCAGATTTAATACATGAGATAAATGTTGTTCAACAACCTTCTGAGTGTTTTAGAGATCAACAACAAATTTCTACGACTCGGATGCGATAACAGATGAGAGACACAAACCGGGGCTCAGCCAACGTTACATTGCCTGATGTAAAGAAACTTTAGGACGTCATGTCCCTCTGTGTAAATGTGTTTGTACATAGTTCATGTGATCTGCTGTTCCTGGCAGGTTCTGCTCGACCGTTGAGGCTCGTTTCTCAAACACAGACGTGATCAGATGAGGCGGTGATGAGGAGGATGAGCTTTAATGCTCCTCAGCTGCCTGTCATAGCACTGTACAGTTCAACTGCTCATCCGCACCGATCACAGCTCCACCACGCTGCCACCCAGAGGCAAACAGCAGTAACTACATTTCAAAGGGTTTCCTGTTGAGAGAAAAGATAGATGCTGCTAAACGACAAACTTGTCCACCAACCACACACCTGTCAGTGGGGGGGGGGTTAGTTACTGCTCTTTGACCCTGAAGGTGACCGTGAACTCAGCATGTTCCTCGTGATTCGGCACGTCTCTCTGGCTTGCACTGATGACAGAATGTTTCCACGCCAAACCATGTATTATCTCAGGATGCGTCTCCATAGTCTAGAAACACGTCCCCTCACCTGTCCTCCCGATAGACTGAAGTTTACCTGTACTGGGTCAGGTGACAGGGAAGCTGAAAACCTGAGACTATTGAGATCCACCCTCCGTTATTCCCTCCCAGAAAGCCATGTCTAGTCGGAGTTAGCTAGGTAACCAAACCGTCTGTGTGACTGATAAACCTCCAACAGTGGGACTCTGTAGAGACTTAATGTAATAAATGACTTTAAAGTATGAGGGTGGCATTATTTATATTTCCTTTATTGTCAACAAATCCCATGAGTACAGCTGCTGTGACCTTTAACCTAGCAAATACTAATAATGTAAAGTAATTCAATGTGTTCAGTTCAGTGTGAGAGTCAGGATCAGCTGGATGATCCGAGTCTGTTATTGTTTATTATTAAAGGTGGAGTAAGTGATTCTAATCCAATACACTTTTTGTCAAATTCAGCAAATACTGGACCAAGTAACACAAGCAGCCAATCAGCAGCAGGGGGCGTTCATGCTCGTGCACAGGACAAGGGGAAGAAGAAGAGAAGGGGGGGGGGGGCTGTAGGAGAGAGAGACAGTAAATGAGGCACATGCTAATGCTAATGGATAGTGGTAATTGTCCCATTCGGAGTTTTGAATGGGGTTGATTACAGATGAGAGACTGGCGGTGACGTCAGGGCGTGTGCTGATGGCAGGATGTGTTGTTGGTGTGATGTTAGCTCCAGTAGCAGGGGAGTAGCAGTGAGTATCTGCAGCTGGTGAGCTGGCTATCTCACCATCTCTGCATGTTAGCTTAGCAGCAGTTGTAGCCACAGTTTGCTGTCTCATTTGCTCTACATCATGATGTTTGTACAATGTGCAAAGTGTAAAAACACAGATTTTGCTAACATTTATTTGGTTGGATGCATAATTCAAAATGCTATGCCATGAAACGTTACGTCCCTTGTTAGCTTAGCTGTAAGCTATAAGCTAAGCACTGTAGTTTTGTAAAAACAATCTAAACAACAAATTCAGTAGTTGTTACTCTAGTGTGTTTTGGATTCTGTTATTTGTGTGCGTGTCCTGTTTGTTGTATAAGACGCTGTGGATTCCGCTAGTGTGTTGTTGCCATGGTGATGCATGTCTATGATTTTGGGGGTGGAGCTTCTGAAGGAGCACTGAAGGCAGGGGTGTGTTCTGTCTGCAGAATCACTTACTCAACCTTTAATGTGGAAAAAATAAATTTTTAGCCTTTGTCATTGCTGATTTTTATTTTATTTTTGTCATTTCCCTCCCCTACAGGCTTTCTTGCATTTTATTTCATTACATTAAAGGAACTGCCACACCTAAAGGGACACTCCGGCAATGTTAGTGTTGTACTGTAATGAAGTTGTAAAGAGGCAGATTAAAAAAACAGCCATTCGTAGGGCACCAGCTCCAAAACAAAAAGAAATAACAGGCGTATTGGAGCCCATCGTGATGAGTAAACTGAACTTCATTTGTAAAATCATTGGAGCTCCCCTTGATGTTTTACTTAAAGTCCTATGACATAGGCCTCTACAGTTGTCAGCCATCTTGGAAAATGGTCACTGTTGTCAGGGTCACTCACTCAGTTAACAGCGAACTTGACTGAATAACTGTGGCTTACTCGGGAGGGTGAAACATTACAACCAAGATGGTGGACATGCATCGTCGACCAGACAGGATTCTCTCTGTGGGAGAGTTCTGTCGGCTGTTCTTTCCATTTAATTTCTGTGATGAAAAATTGTGCAAACCCCTGAGAAAAACACACACACACACACACACACACACACACACGCACACACATACACACACACACACATACATTAAACACAACAGAAGTTTGTTTCAGTGCAAACAGTCTCCAGATCTGTTCGTCTCTCATGGGATGTGTCTCCAGGAAGCTAACTTACCGCTGGTGAATAAGAATCTCCAGGGTACATGTTGTATAAATTGCAATTTACTAGAATGTTCATATTAGATTATAAGATAATATTAAGGGCAATGAATATTATATTGTATCTTTATCGAGGATTACAAATAAAGTTCCCATGGAAAAGATGAAGAGCCTGAACTGTGTGCTTCTTGTGAATCAGACATAAATAAAACAGGTAACTGACTTTATTTTGCAGTGATAAGTTTATTGCTTTTCTTTCTGTAGTATACAGGGATGCAGGCAAATACTGTTTTTACAATAGTAAAGCAAGTCAGTGGCCAAGCAACATGGAAGCTTCTGTCACGTGTTTTTCTTTTGATTAGGGAAAAATTGTTGTGAAATGAACCCAGATAAAATAAAATTAAAAATAAAGGCCAGTAGATATTCTTACAGAAGACAGAGAGTAAAGAATATCAATATTCAGGGTGGGCGTTAACAGCAGACATCTAACCATAGAAAACCATTTTATAAGTGCAACACTTCATAAGTAACAGAAACAAAGCAATATTTGGTCAAAACAGAACAAAAAATGAGACTCATGTTTACAGAGGACACAACTGTAAATGCAAGAAATTTATTGGCCAATGCACTCAGCAATAGTGTGACATTTGGGAAATAACAAGAGTTAGATAAAAGGAGTTTGAGCAGCCAGAGTGCAGGAGTGAGTCTAAAACCTGGACGTTAGTTAGCATTGTAGCACCTCTGGTTCCCTCGTTGTGAGGTCTCTGGGTCTTTGGTTAGATGGCTGAAATAAGGTCTGTGTTTAACACAAGCTCAAGACGTTTTCACGTTTTATTCTCAGACATAAAATATGTCAGTAAATACCCCAGTCCTGACTTCTTTAAGCAGAGTCAAAGACAGTGTAAAACTCCCATTGGCTTTTTGTGGAGGGAACCAGGGTGATGCTAACTTCAGGGTTAGCCTTCAAAAATACGTCCTCCCTGCAGCACTCTATATGTAGCTGTAGCTAGGAGACTGTTAGCTTAGTTTAGCATTAAGAGTGAACTAGTAACAAAACCAACTACCAGCACTTCTTGTACAAAGACAATAATTTGTGCTTTTATGTTTTAAATACGATGATTTGAGAGCTTTAGAGTGTTAGAGATGCTAGTGACGGATAAGCTAACTAGGGCTAGCTTATATGTTACAATGTAACCCTAGTTAGCTTATCTTGGAAAGGCTCAACATGTTGCCAAGGACAGTGAATGACAGTTAGAGCTCATTGTTAGAGATGCTAGTAAGCAGATTTTATTACAAGGTTAGCCAGGTAAGCTAACAGGCTAGCTGCTAGCTGTAGCTTTGTGTTTAGCAGGACAGATTTGAGCGCGGTATCAATGATCTCATCTAACTCTAAGTGTAAATCCCAGAATGTGAAACTATTCCTTCAAGTTTATACATGTGTGAAAAACAGACAATTACTGACCGAAACGACAACTTTAAAAATGGTGTTTTTAAAAACGTTCACATTTGGCTAACTACTGTGTGTCGAGGCTGGCTCCATTACGGGTTTGTGTTGTGTTGTGTTATATGCAGTATTCACAGTAAAGGTCTGAATATATTACATTTTCCTATTCACAAGTGCTAAGAATGGGCATTTCCACTTCACATGATTCTTTAAGTGTTTTCAGACAGCATGGCTTTTCAGAGCGGTTCCTTCACTTTGCATCACATTTTTAAGAGAACTGGTTTCATGTAAAAAATGTTGGCACTGGAGTTTTCATTTCCGTTAAAATCAAAAACAGAGCTCCAATCAGTTAGGAGGGAATGCCAGTATAAATACAGGATAAAGTATAAATATAAAAAACACAAAATAAATAACTGTGATTGGCCTGAAGACAGAGGGTGAAATTTATAAAAAATAGAGATGAAGTTGCATTTTTCATTAACATTCGTCTGATTTAAAAGAAAAACTGACTTCATGGAGGAGCTTACTATATTCATATCTGTCATTAGCTTTGAGGGAATAGTAAATTCATATAAAATTGTAAAGGGGGAATTGGTATAAAAGTCGTATAATAAGAATAAGGCACGGTTTATCCGCCAATTAAAGCAATAAGACATTCATTTCTCTCCATACTGTGGATAAAGAGGCCAAATGGTGAAAAGAAACTTGTATAAAAAAAAAAAAAAATGGACCTTCAAAGGAATGACAACCACTTGTACACACATATTCTAAGTTGAAGCAAACTGTGACAAATGTGTATTAAGCTAGAGGTGCACAGTGAGATTTTTTTGTCATATTTACATCAAATGAGGAGTCGATTACATAAAACACTTGATCTGTGGTCTGTGTGTCCTCTCCCACACCACTGACAAAATATGCAGACGTCAACTTGTCTCTGTCAGTACATGTTATGATACTATTTACAAAAATGGCCACGCTAAGCATTTCCAATTCACCTTGTAATTCCTTTCGTTTTTTTTTTTTTTCCAGTAATACAAACATAGACTCAGAAAGTTTACAATGATTGTCAAAATGTGTCTTCAAGTCTAGGTGGCATAACACTGATGTTGCATAAGGTGTAAAGCACAGTAATCACGTCCTTCCATTGTGTAGAAAATCCTTCATGCGCCCATGTTCATACTCGTGTGGCGGTTGTGCGATGGCGTCAAGAAGCACCTTGTCTTTGGATTCTGGTGACGACGACATGAGAAACTCATGTGGAGAAAATAAGTCAAAATATAATAAACCTCAGATGTCCCACTGGATTATAACAGGAAGGAAATGTTACTTGGACTGAAGCTGTTGAAGGAAGAATTCGATTGGTCTTTGGTTGTGGGCGGAGCTGATATCAGCGGTCCGCTTTTAAAGCTGGTGTGTGACGGTGGATGGCACTTGTGGTGATGCTGCTTTCACCAGTGCTCCAGGTGCAGGTCCATAGCAGAGTTCAAGTTAATGTCTGTTATATCCAGGAACTCTGTGTTGAAGATGCTGGGGCCAGTGGGCGGAGCCACGCTGAAGGCCGTGGCGGAGCTGGGCGGCATCAGGTCCAGCCACTCCATCGTCTCCCACGGTGTCTCGCTGAACGTCATGCTGACCATCCCCTGCACCTCGGGGAAGGTGGACGCCTTGGCACTGATGGGCGACAGCGGGGTGTCCATCTGATCTCTGCTGGTCACAAGTTTGTCCTGCGGCGGATGGTGAGGATGGCGGTGGTGGCTGTGGGGGCTGCCGTACCCTTCGCCCTCTCTGTTCCCTTCGTCTTCCAGGCCCCCATCCTCGGTAGCCATTTTAAGAAGGGCCACTTCCCCTCCCCGCCCAATCGGACTCCCCAGCAGAGTCTCCAGGTGGCCGTCGGCGATGTGATTGGCCGAGTGGTCGTAAGGGGGCTGGGTGGGGTACAGCTGTTCATAGTGACGGTGGAACCTCGGGATAAGGAGGCCGGGACACCCTGGGGACACAGTAATGTGAGGCACAACTTTGGTTACAGAGGACCTCTCCCTCTCTTCTCTGGCGTTAGCTGGCATCTCTTGAAGAGGAAGAGGAGAGGAAGAGGAGAGAGGGTCACAGCAGGAAGTGAGACCTGGTACCAGAGTGTGGGGTGAAATCTGAAGCCAGTGCACCGAGTGATTTACACATAGACTTTACACTAACTCTCATGCAGTGACAGTTACAGTTTTACTCCTGGTGACCAACATTAATTACTGAACCTCAACTCACCTCCGCTCTCTATGAGAACATCCAACAGTTCATCCATCTGCTGACTTCTGGTCAGTTGCTGTAATGATAATAAAGAAGTGATGTTTTTTTAATCAATTGAACCATTGTTTTAATGATTTAAAATTTTTATCCAGTTATATTAAAGGACTTTAAATGAAACAGATGCAAGCTTTTAAGCAGTTGAATCAGAGGTTCTGTAAAACAGACCAGGTTATTGGTTGATATTAACTACATTTAACTATTTTTTATTACTTTCGACCAAAAAAAGACAGAGAGAGTTTGTATAGATCCTAACATCTGACTGAACAGTTTTCATTATAATTATCACAACTATGCTCCAGCACTGACTTTCTAACTACACTTAATGCTCTATTCACCTTTCAGGTATGGAGAACTGAAACCGCCAAAATCAAAATAAATGAAACACTTTCTAGTATGTGATGTTATTATTGAATTAATAATTTCTGTTGAAAAATCCCATGAAAATGTAACCAAGAATACTAGGACTTTTTTATGCCTTTTTATGACTTACTATACTATGACGTTTTTATAACGTTTTATCACTTACTATCACTTACTGTTGTTTTTATGAGTCTTTATGATTTACTGTGTTATGTTGTTTTTATGCCTTACTATACTATGCTGTTATGATTACTTTTTATGCCTTAATTTATTATGTCGTTTTTTTTACTTTTATGCCTTACTATAATATGTCTTTTTCCAAAAAAACTATACTGTGACATTTTTATGCATTTTCATACCTTACTATGCTATTACGTTTTTATGACTTTTCGTGCCTTACTATACTATGTCATTTTTATGACTTTTTATGCCTTACTATAATATGTCTTTTTCCAAAAAAACTATACTGTGACATTTTTATGCATTTTCATACCTTACTATGCTATTACGTTTTTATGACTTTTCGTGCCTTACTATACTATGTCATTTTTTATGCTTTATTATACTGTCGTTTTTATTACTTTTTGTGGCTTACTATACTATGTCATTTTTATGCTTTATTATACTATGTCATTTTTATGACTTTTTATGCCTTACTATACTATGTCGTTTTTATGCCTTACTATACTATGATATTTTTATAATTTTTTATACCTTACTTTACTATGCTGTGTTTATGACTTTTTATGCCTTACTATACTATGACATTTTTATGACTTTTTATACCTTATTATACCATGACATTTTTATGAATTTTTATGCCTTACTATACTATGTCGTTTTTTATGCTTTTTTATACTGTTGTTTTTTATGCCTTACTATACTATGTCGTTTTTTATGCTTTTTTATACTATGTCGTTTTTTATGCTTTTTTTATACTATGTCGTTTTTATGACTTTTCATGCCTTACTATACTATGACATTTTCATGAATTTTTATGCCTTACTATGTCGTTTTTATGACTTTTTATGCCTTACTATACTATGTTGTTTTTTTTAAATAAATTTTTATGCCTTATTAAACTATGTAATTTTTATGAATTTTTATGCGTTACTACACTATGTCATTTTTATGATTTTTTATGCCTTACTATACTATGACATTTTTATGAATTTTTATGCCTTACTATACTATGTCGTTTTTATGAATTTTTATGCCTTACTATACTATGACATTTTTATGAATTTTTATGCCTTACTATACTGTGTCGTTTTTTAGGCTTTATTATACTATGTCGTTTTTATGACTTTTTATGCCTTATTATACTATGACATTTTTATGAATTTTTATGCCTTGCTATGTTGTTTTTATGACTTTTTATGCCTTACTATACTATGTCGTTTTTTTATTAATTTTTATGCCTTATTAAACTATGACATTTTTATGAATTTTTATGCCTTACTATACTGTGTCGTTTTTTAGGCTTTATTATACTATGTCGTTTTTATGACTTTTTATGCCTTATTATACTATGTCATTTTTTATGAATTTTTATGCCTTATTAAACTATGACATTTTAACAAATTTTTATGCCTTTCTGTCGTTTTTTATGAATTTCTATGCCTTATTAAACTATGACATTTTTATGAATTTTAATGCCATACTATGACGTTTTTATGAATTTTTATGCCTTGCTATGTCGTTTTTATGACTTTTTATGCCTTACTATACTATGTCGTTTTTTATGCTTTATTATACTGTTGTTTTTGTTACTTTTTATGCCTTATTATACTATGACATTTTTATGAATTTTAATGCCATACTATGACGTTTTTATGCCTTACTATACTATGACGTTTTTATGCCTTACTATACTATGACGTTTTTATGCCTTACTATACTATGACGTTTTTATGCCTTACTATACTATGACGTTTTTATGCCTTACTATACTATGACGTTTTTATGCCTTACTATACTATGACGTTTTTATGCCTTACTATACTATGACGTTTTTATGCCTTACTATACTATGACGTTTTTATGCCTTACTATACTATGACGTTTTTATGCCTTACTATACTATGACGTTTTTATGCCTTACTATACTATGACGTTTTTATGCCTTACTATACTATGACGTTTTTATGCCTTACTATACTATGACGTTTTTATGCCTTACTATACTATGACGTTTTTATGCCTTACTATACTATGACGTTTTTATGCCTTACTATACTATGACGTTTTTATGCCTTACTATACTATGACGTTTTTATGCCTTACTATACTATGACGTTTTTATGCCTTACTATACTATGACGTTTTTATGCCTTACTATACTATGACGTTTTTATGCCTTACTATACTATGACGTTTTTATGCCTTACTATACTATGACGTTTTTATGCCTTACTATACTATGACGTTTTTATGCCTTACTATACTATGACGTTTTTATGCCTTACTATACTATGACGTTTTTATGCCTTACTATACTATGACGTTTTTATGCCTTACTATACTATGACGTTTTTATGCCTTACTATACTATGACGTTTTTATGCCTTACTATACTATGACGTTTTTATGCCTTACTATACTATGACGTTTTTATGCCTTACTATACTATGACGTTTTTATGCCTTACTATACTATGACGTTTTTATGCCTTACTATACTATGACGTTTTTATGCCTTACTATACTATGACGTTTTTATGCCTTACTATACTATGACGTTTTTATGCCTTACTATACTATGACGTTTTTATGCCTTACTATACTATGACGTTTTTATGCCTTACTATACTATGACGTTTTTATGCCTTACTATACTATGACGTTTTTATGCCTTACTATACTATGACGTTTTTATGCCTTACTATACTATGACGTTTTTATGCCTTACTATACTATGACGTTTTTATGCCTTACTATACTATGACGTTTTTATGCCTTACTATACTATGACGTTTTTATGCCTTACTATACTATGACGTTTTTATGCCTTACTATACTATGTCGATTTTTTATGAATTTTTATGCCTTATTAAACTATGACATTTTTACAAATTTTTATGCCTTACTATACTGTCGTTTTTTATGCCTTATTATACTATGTCGTTTTTATGACTTTTTATGCCTTATTATACTGTGACATTTTTATGAATTTTTATGCCTTACTATACTATGTCATTTTTATGACTTTTTATGCCTTATTATACTATGAAATTTTTATGAATTTTTATGCCTTACTATAATATGTCGTTTTTTATGCTTTATTATACTGTTGTTTTTATGACTTTTTATATCTTATTATACTATGACATTTTTATGACTTTTTATGGCTTACTATACTATGTCGTTTTTTATGCTTTATTACTGTCATTTTTATGACTTTTTATGCCTTATTATACTATGATATTTTTAAGTCTTATTATACCTTACTATACTACGTCGTTTTTATGACTTTTTATATCTTATTATACTATGACATTTTTATGAATTTTAATGCCAGACTATGACATTTTTATGAATTTTAATGCCAGACTATGACATTTTTATGAATTTTAATGCCAGACTATGACATTTTTATGAATTTTAATGCCAGACTATGACATTTTTATGAATTTTAATGCCAGACTATGACATTTTTATGAATTTTAATGCCAGACTATGACATTTTTATGAATTTTAATGCCAGACTATGACATTTTTATGAATTTTAATGCCAGACTATGACATTTTTATGAATTTTAATGCCATACTACGACATTTTTATGAATTTTTATGCCTTGCTATGTCTTTTTTTATGAATTTTTATGACTTATTAAACTATGACATTTTTATGAATTTTTATGCCTTACTATACTGTCGTTTTTTATGCTTTATTATACTATGTCGTTTTTATGACTTTTTATGACTTATTATACTATGTTGTTTTTTATGAATTTTTATGCCTTATTAAACTATGTCATTTTTATGACTTTTTATGCCTTACTATACTATGTCATTTTTATGACTTTTTATGCCTTAGTATACTATGA